GCGCGGCAGCCGCTGGCCGGCCAGCCGGCGAAGGTGCACTTTGTGCCCGCTGAGAGCAAGGCCAACTGCCATCCTCGTCCACATGGGCACGGGCATCCGTATGCCAAGGCGATGCCGCTGCAGATGACACAGCGCACGGCCTATGGGCAGAGAGACTGCGAGATGGATCCCAATCCCACGGAGATGTCGGACAAGGATCAGATGCTCAATGCCAACTCGATGAATGGCCGCCGATCCCATGTCCACTCGCATCCGAATCCGAATCAGCAGCACCCCCAGCATCCCCCACATCCCCTACATCCCCTACAGCACCAGCTACACCAACAGCAGCACTTGCCGAGCAACAACAGTATCCACACGAACATGCAGCAAATGCACCATCACTCGCATCAGAATATGAAGCACCAGCAGCAGCAGCATCATCTGCAACTCCAGCAACAACAAATACTTCACCAGCAACAACGTGGTCCGGCGCATATGCGCCAGCGCGGCGGCATGCAGAGGACCGTTGTCACCGAGGAGGAGGATGAGAAGGATGAGGATCCCGAGGAGTTCTTCGAGCTCATACGCCAGACCGTGAGAAAGGCCGTTGGCGTAAGTACCCACACTGGCTGTTGGCCTTGCATCCCACTTATCTTTTTTGCTTTCAGACAACCATTTCGGATGTAATTTCACGGAATTTCCGTGACCTAGCTAACAAAATGGAACGCTTCGCGAACGAGCTCAAGATGACCAATGAGAATTTGGGCAAACTGCAAACGGAGGTTACCAACAGTAGGTTATTTGTGTTTTGTTGCTTTTGTTTTTGGGGTCACGTCTCTCACGCATCCTTACTCAGAGGTAATCCGCTACGGAGAGGAGAACACGCGTCACTTTCGGTATCTGTGCATGAAATCTGAATATGATAAGATGTTCTACCAGCAGCAGACACTGACTGCTGGCAATCAGCTGTCTGCTAAAGTGGCCCCCACTCCAGCGATGTCCAATGCGAAGGCGACGGCGATGACGACCTCACGGGTGGCCAAGCAGGCGGCCACCTTCAACATGAAGGCCGGCAAGCAGCTGACGGGCAGGAAGCTGGGCTATGCTAGTCTGAAGAAGACACCACTCGATTGCGTCAAGGAGCAGAATAATTGTGCATGCCGCAGCACTTCGAAGTCCTCACACCAGCAGCCGACGGAGGATCGCCAGTCATCATCGGATCGTAGCGTCAATGCCAAGTCCTCGGAGCTGGGTGTGCGCGAAGTGTTGGGGCAAATACAGCGCTTCTGCACACAGATGCAGCTGGGCGATATGAAGGAGGAGCAGCCGAAATACAACTCACAGACCGGCATCTGCGGCATGGATCTCAGCGAGAAGATTAGCTCCGGCTCCACCAATTCGCCACTCGACAAGGCTTGCAGCAACGCCAAGCCAAAGCCACACGTCACCATCAATGCCACTCCAGCTGATGCTGTCGACGAGATGGACACTCCGGTCGACAGCATGGACGAGATTGAGATTGACAATTTCCAATACAGCTCTGATGAAATGTCCTCGTACAGTGAAGACGAGAGCGAGGTGAAATTCTCTGGCAGCGCCACAGCCCGTGCACCGCTCCAGCCATCCAGGGCTAAGCTCCCACCCCAACACTCGAACAAAGGTGCCGGCGATGGTCAGTAATCTAGGCAAACATCCATACACCCACACACACGCACATATACACACATACACACATACACACCAACACACACACACAAACAGTGAACGAATGCCAAAGGACGAGCAAGACTAAACAATCCAACTGAATTTTCCTGAGATCATCTTGCGTTGTGGTTTACTTTCTTTTTGGATCGCACAAAATTTTAAATATCCAGTGCTAAGCAGTGGGAAAGCAGGGCTCAAAACGTTTGGATATTTTTTACTGAATGAAATTTGTTCAATGCGTGACTTTGTTTTATTGCCTCAGGAAAATACATAAATCAATAAATGATTGCCGAAAGATGCAATAATATGATACCAATAAACCAAGTGAAAGAAGTGTCGATATTCTTTGCTACCTTTATAGATGTTTTCATAGGCAGAAATGGTATTATGAGGCGATATATACCCCTAGGTAAGATGGAGGAAGGAGTCTCAGCATAAAATACTTCTTACGTGATATTTTAAGCATAAGCCATTGTACATGATACTCAATTAAGTTATTTCTTCTTATTTACGAATTTAATTGCCATTTGATCTCTTCATCTTCTTTCATCGATTTTTTTTCATATTAACTTTTCTACTCATTCGTCCTCACATTGTAGTCTTCTTTCTCTTTCTACAGAAATTGAATTGCTTCACTTTATGAAAACAGTAATCACTCTTGTATTTAGAGCTCTGTACGAAAGTAACACATAATGCTTTTTTACCATTTGGTATAATATAAATAAAAATAAATATTTAGATACAAAGTAGTGGAGAAAATAGTAGTAACCGCTAGTAGATTGTCAAAAATATAATTTAAAATCTTAGAAGGTATATGTAATATACAAATATATTATTAATATATTTATTTGTTTTCCTATGAACTAGTTTTAAATATTACTAGCATTAAACATTTCGAATGCAGTATAAATACGCTTTATTTTATCTTAAATCTCACAATTTCCAGTATGCTCAAAATAAACTTAAAGAGGGCAGCATTATTCGTCTCACACTTGAACATTATTTGACATGTGTTTCTCTCTTTTGTCAGACGGCTTCAAAGCGTATTTCCGCTGCCCGCTTAGTAGGTGCTTACAACTGACCCATATATACAGTCGGGCTACCTGGTACGTAATGCCCTTTGGTGTCACTAATAACTGCATAATATATTGACTGCAAAGAATGCATGGCTAAGCACAAACAGAGAGGGAGAGAAAGAGAATGAGAGAGAGACAGAGAGCTGACACCAAAACTAGGCATAATTACAAGCCCAATGAAAGCCTGAGTGAGTGACTGTTGAGTGAATGAGTATGTGAGTGTGTGTGTGTGAGTGAGTGTATGCATAAATGCCTACCAAACGGTGGGCCGCTGCTCCACCCTCTGCACTGAGCTCTTGCATTTTTATGGGCTTACGGCTCTGCCGTACAGCAGCGAGCTCTGCGGCCAAAACAGTTGATATATGGACGTGGTCGTGGTCGCGTGAATGAATGACTAAGTGCATAGTGAACGACTAACGACTAACGACAAACGGCTAACGGCTAACGGCTGAGGTACCGTTTGTATTTTCGCTATCAGCTCGGTTACATAGCGCAATTCTCTGCTGGAAATTGCGTAAACAAATTGAACATTTGGTCGAAATACTGTCAACTGTTTGGCCCGCTCAACTGTAATTAAAGCGCCCAAAGTCGCTCTTTGACATACAGCCTGAAGGACGGACAGACGAACAGACGAATGGATGGCTGAACGAACATACGGACGGATGGTCAGAGAAATAGCAAACAAATTAAACTTATGCAATGATATTGGGGCCTCGGGGCCAAGTGAATCGCCTCGACTGCAGCTGCATTTTCGTGTTGACATTAATTAAAAGTGTTATGCAAAACAATCTAAGCCGGAAATACGCGCCCAGAAATGTCAATGTCCCGTTGGGGCATTTTAGCACGCTCTGCTGCCCATAGTGCCATGGACACTTGTCAAGGACTTGGCCCATGCAGTGAAAACTATTTATATTGAAACATTCAAGCTTTGTTTGTGCGCTTCACTCACACACCGAGCTGTTTATAGAAAACTTTATTCTATCAGCCATAATCGTGGAATATACTTGTAAATTTAATCAACTGTGCTGCTGTTTATCTGCTCCAGCACATATATAAATTATGTTTTATTCAGAATGCAAATGAATACAAAGGAAAACAGCAAACAGATAGCAAAACAGAGAGACTGCTGCAGTAATGAAGATAAACTGATTTTTCATTTAAATTCATTTACAAAGAGTTAACCAACAGAAGAGAGAGCGCTACTTCTATTATGTAGAAAATTGGATTTAATTTTAATGCATTGTTTTCTTAGAGGCATTCTAGGAGAGTTGTGCTCTTAACTGATTTAATATCCTCACTACTGAAAATTTTGATATCCATTTTTATAAGAGTTTCAGTAATTAACTAAATAAACCAAGAATGAATTAACAAGTCAGCGGTTGAAAAATAAGCAATTATATAGTTATATATATATATACTTTTTTTCAATTGAGTGTTAGTTATTTTTTATAAACTTTGTTTCTTATAAAATAATAATTCTTATAAAATAAATATTTAAAGTATTTCTTAACTTTTCCTTTTGTACAACAAAATAAACAAAACCATTTATTATTTTAAATATTTCTAACAGTTTTTACATATTAATTTAAATTATTTCAACCTAAAAAAAATATAAAAATAAATAATTGCATAGCTGTATTATTTTTTTTTTTTTTTGTTTTTTTTTTTATTATTATTTTTAATATTTTAAATTTATTTAACTCGAAAATTACAATTTATACAGTAGTTATCATTTGGCAACTGGCAGCCCTTTAATATATTACTACAATACTAGAGAGAGAGAGAAAGAGAGGGAGGGACACAGTGTGAGGCCTTGTTCAACCCCCTCGCCATGGCACTGTGTGTGCGTGTAACTGAAAACCTGCTTCAATCAGCCGCCTAATTGTGATGACCAATGTTTGAACTGCAAACTTTAGCCGGCAGGCCACAAGACCAACAGGAAAGGGGTTAGCGCAGCTCGAACACGTCACAGAATGTGGATTTTTGTAATTATGAATAGCTTTTCACTCAAATATTCCAGCGAGTGAGCCGCCGAGGTTGAGCGCATAACCATAACAACGCACGCTCGCTGTTGGCCCAAGCCCAGTTGGCCAAAACAAAACAAATGAAACAGGTGCAAAGCATTACGAGGGTGGCTCGAGAGCCCAGCAGAATAAAATAAAATAAAATAAGAAAACAGGAACAGAAGCAAAGCTCAATGCAGCATAATTGCAGCGCGACTCGGTTTGCTAACAATTGTCAGTGCCGTGCCACTTTAGGTTGCAGTTGCAGTTGCAGTGCTGCACCCGTTCGTGGGCGGAACACAAATTGATTGTCCGTCCTCAAATAACAAAAAACCGAGTTGAGCAAATCAAATACTATATATACATACATACATATGTAGTACATATGTGAATGGTTTTTGTGCTCGGCTTTCAGTGGTCAAATATAAAACGAGAAACGTTTAATTGACCCCAAAATCAGTGAAGCGTTCATCTTTTTTTTTATATATATATTTAATGTGTTTTAATAGTTGGAGTGAAAAAGTTAAAAAAGGAATGGCATAGAGCAGCTGAAAACACATGTGAACTCTGGACAGTAGTGCAAAAACATCTGTAAAAGTTTGTCAAGCTATAATCGATTCTATTGAAATAAAACTAAAACTGAAAAGAAACAGAAACTGAAAAGGAATAAAAAGGAAAAGTTGGACCTATTAACAAGCCAATTTGCATGGAATATCATTGCGGGCCACAGCAATTTCCGTAGAAAATACCTATTGATTTTCCTTTGGCTTGGCTTGCCATCCGCATTTTCCGCTGGCCGCTTTAAATAAAATGAAAATATGAAAAACTCAAACTAAAACGAAAACTAAAATATTTCCCACCGCATTACTTTGCACAGATACGAATGAAAAGCGTGCAAAGGCGAAAAGGCAACTGTGCCAAAGTTTTGTGTGTGTGTATGGGTGTGGGTGGGTGGTCTCTGCGTCTCTGTGTTAGTGTGACAATATTTAATGCGATTAAAGTGCAACACTCTCCCAAAGAGTGAGGCGACAAAGCGACATGGCAAATGCTAAAATTCTGCACTAAAAGCGCAATGCATAACAAATGCGCTCGCCAAACGCAGTTGCGAGCGCATTTCCATCCTATATTGGTTTTCCTTTCCGGCACTAATTTTCACAATTAAATGTATTGTTTGTTTCATTCTTTCGATTCTCACAGGCAACTTGTTTTGATTGCGATAATTAAAGCCTGCTAATTGTCCATAAATGTTGAGTGCATCGCATCGAATCGAATCGAACGAGAAGTGAATACAGAGCGAGAATTTCGTATTCAATTTAAATATTTAAAGCAAAAATCTGAGAAAGTCATGAGTGGCTCCACTCAATGCGGTAAGCATTGTCCACTCCATACATATGTATATCCATAGATTGATTTCATCAATTCACATCTTTGCAGCGTTAGTTTGCCTGCTCATCACTGTGAGCTGCATTGCTCAGTGCCATGGAGCAGGCACTGCCACGCCCATCAAGAAGGGGGCTCCGCTGCGCATAACGAAACCGCAGCCCATCAGCAGCACCACTGCGGCACCGCCAACGACCAGCGTGGACAGCACCAGCACCACAGGCGAGCTGCTGTCGCCTCTAATTTACTCCACGACGGAAGCAACCGCCAGCAGCGCCAGCGCCAGCAGCATCACGACGGCAGAGGACGGTAGCAGCACAACTGCAGCGGGCAGCCTGGTGCCGGAGATTTGTATAACGGGACTGCAACTGACGCTAACCAATGCGGCCGGGGAGCAGGTGGTGCGCAGGCAGCCAGAGCTGGTGCAAATCATCGAGGGCGACGTCATGCTGAGTGTCCTGACCAGTGATCCCGTCTCGGCGATGTTTGTCATCAATCGCGTGAACCAGGCTAATCTCATCTCAGCGGACTTTGAAGTTGGTAAGGAATCCCTACCTACAATATGATGCAATTCTTTCTAAAAATGGGCATACAATCTTGAATCTAAGTTCCTTATAAATGGGTATATGATTGTTTATCGAGGGATTTTTATTGACTGAGGTAGTTTCTGACTAAAAGGGAGATTTACTTTTCCAGAAATCCAGTACATATATTCGCAATTAGAGCAGTTCTTAGTAAAAGCTTTGATTTAAACGAAAGACTGTTCAGCATAATAAAATAACAGCAAGATGTTTTTCAGTTTCTGATGAAAATTCGCATATTTCTACTTTTTCTTAAAATTTATGATTTTGAACATATTTCATTTTAAAGATAAACAAGGATATATCTAAAATATATATACTCTATGGGGTCTGCCAGGCCTCCTTCTGTCTCTTATATACATTTAACCAACCCATTATGGCCTGATTTCCCATTTTCCATTGAGTCTGTGTATGTATATGAATTCTACTTTTCTTTTACTTTCAATGGGAAATTTATTGTTTATTATACTCATTCACGAAAGTGAAATGAGTATATTAGCTTTGTTTTTATTATTATTTTGTTTTTATGTCTTTGAAAACATTCATTAGGAATCATTGAATTCTAATAGTAAAACAATTTGTTCGAGTTCGCTCGGTTTATTTCGTGACTCAAAAACATCAAATCCTCCTGCTTCATACAATATAATAGTATAAAGTTATACTATTATATACTATAACTATACTATAACTGTACTATAACCATACTATAACTATATAAAATTCTCTACCCAGGCATTCGCGCCATAACTGTGGACAATGCCAGCCTGGCTGAGAATCTGCTCATACAGGAGGTGCAGTACTTGCAGCAGTGCACTCAGTACTCCATGGGCATATTCCTAGACTATGATCTGTACAGGCACCTCGAGTCGATAATCAGGGACTTGGAGTACAATGTGTGGCCCATACCCAGCACGCGCGGCCATCTCTTCCCCAAGGTGGCGCATCTGCTGCACCAGATGCCGTGGGGCGAGAAGACCGCCTCCGTGGAGATCGTCACCGAAACCCTGGACGTGTACAATGAGTTCATGGACGCCGCCAGGCAGGAGCACATGTGCCTGATGCACTTCAAGAGCGACGACAACATCTACATACTCTTCGGCAACAAGATGGCCAATCACTTCAAGGAGAACGGCACGGTGTTTGTCGTGCCCACGGACCGTGCAGATCATGTATTCCTGGAGGGTAAGTCCGAGCCGAAAGGTAGTCCGCTCTCGTTTTCATCAAGCTCTTTGCAGAGCTGCCCAACAAGGCATTCGTTCTGATGGAGAATGACATAGAGCTGCGGGCGGCTGACCTGGATCCGATGCCCACGGCGCTCGACGAGGTGCTCATTGGCAAGAGTGTGCTGCCCTCGCGCGTCCTGGTCTTCGCCAGCCCCGTCGTTGACCTGATGAACTGGCTGCGCGCCTCGCTGGCCAAGCACTGCAAGCGCGATGAGGACTTGTATGTGCTGGAGAGCTGCTTCAACTTCCTCAACTTCATCGAGGACTGGCGCACTCCCGAGTACCGGCGACCCCACGACACGCAGGAGCTGCTGGCGCTGCTGCGCATGCGCAAGCTCTCCACGTCGATGGTCTTCCAGATGTACCAGAAGAAACAGGAGACCCTGGATGTGATAACGGGCGAGTCGCGCATGGAGCTGCGCGAGATCGCCTCCCAGAACTTTGTGACCAACGTGACCACCTACTACCACTACAATCGCGACAATCACACCAGCCTGGAGCTGAAGACGAAGTTCGGCTTGGTCTTCAACTGCCAGTACACGGTGGGCGACAACCGGCGCCACCCGTTCGTCTTCGATGGCGAGAGCGTCATGTTCTGGCGCATCAAACTGGACACCTGGGTGGCAGCGGGCCTGACGGCCGCCATTCTCGGCCTGATCGCCACGCTGGCCATTCTGGTGTTCATTGTGGTGCGCATCTCGCTGGGCGATGTGTTTGAGGGCAATCCGGTCACCTCGATCCTGCTGCTGCTCTCGCTCATCCTCGTCTTCTGCTCCTTCGTGCCCTTCTCCATGGAGTACGTGGGCGAGCAGCGCAACTCGCATGTCACCTACGAGGATGTGAACACCCTCAACACGCTCTGCGCCGTGCGGGTGTTCCTGATGACGCTCGTCTACTGCTTTGTCTTCTCACTGCTGCTCTGCCGTGCTGTGATGCTGGCCTCGATCGGGTCCGAGGGCGGATTCCTCTCCCATGTCAATGGCTACATTCAAGCCGTCATCTGCATATTCAGCGTCTTTGTCCAGGTGGGCATGTCCGTGCAGCTGCTGGTGGTCATGCACATGGCCTCCGAGAGCGTCTCCTGCGAGAACATCTACTACGGCCGCTGGCTCTGGGGCCTGATGGCCTACGATTTCCTGCTGCTCTGCTGTCTGGTCAGCCTGGTGCCGTTCATCTATCGCTCGCAGCGCAACTACCGCGAGGGCATCCTGATTGTGATTGGGGGCGTGCTCATTCTGATCATCTGGACCGTCTGGATCATCCTGTCGCTCTTTGGCGACGAGTGGCGGGATGCGGCCATTCCGCTGGGGCTGCAGGCCACCGGCTGGGCTGTCCTAGTGGGCATCCTAATACCACGCGCGTTCCTCATTGTGCGCGGCATTGAACGCTCGGACATTGCCCAGGCGCTGCCCTCGCTTACCTCCCTGGCCTTTGCCCAAAACAATCAGTATTCCTCCGAGCAGGTGAGTTCCTCAATTGCAGGCTATTCGACAGCCTATTGACATCTGCTTCTTTCAGAGCGTTTATGAGTGTGTGAATCCTGCTATGCGCCACTGCTCGCAGGAGGAGGTGAACCATCAGTCGCCCAGCGAGATACCCACGCTGCCTCTGCGCGGCGGCGGTCCACGACGTCAGCAGTTCTTTGCCAATCTTCGCCAGGCCAATGCCAACATCAATCCGCAACGTCCGCCGCCACGCCCACAGCAGAGCCCCTCGCGCTCCTCCGTCTGCTCCCTGCCGCCCTCACCCGAGCACAGCAAGATCACACGTTTCTGAGCGAATCCGGGAACAGATCCATAGACAGACCTAACCAGCACACCGCAACTTCCGTTCGAACTCTAGTCAAAGCGCCAAGAATGTGCATTAATTAAATTGCTGTAATCTATTTGTTAATCTAACATTTTAATTATCGACGAACCAATAACCCATGGCCATTTACGACTTTAATAAAACTAAATGGATACAGACGAGAAATATATTACAGATAATTATTATTGAATATAAATAAATATGATAAAGATATTATAAAGCTAATAATATTGAATATAAATAAATGAATAAATATGAAATAAAAATTAAAAAGCTCATGCTTTTGTCAATAATAAATTAAATTGAAATTCCATTTTTTCTTGAAATTTAATAGATAGAAATGTTATAGATTTGAGAAAAAATGTAAGAAACCAAACATATTTTATATTAATTGATAATTTAAAATCCGGTTAATTCAAGTTTCATAGTTAAATCATCATTTAAAATCTTAGTCATTTAACTGAGATTAATATATAAAACAAGTATAGCCGAGTTTCGCTAATATGTACCCAGCTTAATCAAAAATTCGTGATAAATCGAAAAAAAAATTCTATTCCCTTGAAAGTAATTTGTTCTCAACAATTCTTGATAATTTGAATTTCTACTTAAATTGAATAGAAAAAAAACCGATACCCTTGCCATTTCGAATTATCCATATTCTACTGTTTTTGAATTGACGCCCCATTTAAGGCCACCCTCCTATGCCTGAACCAACCCTCTTAAAGTGCATTGTCCGCTTCGATAACTTTTGATTTGGCTGGTTGATGTCTTTGCTAAGTGAAAGCTTTCCAAATCGAGCTTTCTAACGGTAACTTTAATTGGCTTTATAGACACGTGATTATTATAGAAATTGGCTCAAGACGCCCAAAAGAAAACTCAATATCCTCTTTGCGTCACGCGACACTAGCGCTGGCGCCCATTGTTTGGCCTTGAAAAGGGGCGGGGTTTCAGCGTTATTTCTTCTTTTTGTGTGTGTTTTGCTACATTTATGCGTGGGCCGCTGACGTCAGGCCGCCAGTGTCCGCTGCGAGCATTGACCGTGGCACATGAGAAAATGCGCAACAAGACATCAGCTATAAATGTTTGGCCACAGCAACTATCAAAGTCCAAAAAAAAAAAAGCAAAAAACGGGAAATACAAAAACTAAGCAACATTGCAAGGCCGCCAAAGAACACGCGACTATCAGGAATGGCGTCGCTTTTAACCGTTGTCGCCACGCGCCAAGCATTAGATTTTAAGCAGAGCCGAAGAGGAGGGGAGTATAAGGGGGGCGTGGCTGGCAGCCGCAGTAAAGTTATGCCGACAAGTTTTATCTGGCTGGCAACGGCAAGTAGAAGTACGTGTTGTGCTGGCCAAATTTGCGTTGCATACTCTGTGGGCCTGGCTGGGGGCGGGGGGTGTGAGCGGAGGGCGTACTTCCGGCATAATTTGCACTCCATTTGCCCAAGCACACAGAGAACACCGAAAACAGCGAAAACACAGAAAACATCTTCGCCAGGACATTCGCGCAAATTTGCTTTGCCTTAAATCAAGATAACAAGCAAAACGTTTTGTATTTGCTTTTGACACAATTTTTTAATTAAATTTGCAATTTGGCACAGCTATTGTGCGTTTAATTAAACCTGTGCCGAGAGTAGATGGCTGTCGGGATACTGCCGTATAGAGGCCTGAGCTGATTCAATTATTTAATCATTATCTAACGACGCAGTTGCTGTCCCTACTATTTCTATTTATATACTTAAGCTCTGCTAATTGCATTCAAGAACTCACAAGCTGACAGACTGTCCATTATAATTGCCAGCGTTATCCTGGCTGCGAGTGGAGAGTGTGCGGCACTTAGCTGTCAAAAGCTCTGCTACGTGACATTATTAAGAGTGCAGTCGTCCATCGTGCATACACTGACTGGACCGGCCACCCCACAGACAGACGGACCGACAGTCGAACTGTGTGCCGGGGTGCGTATGATTTATGAGTGGAACGCAACTAATGATGGCACATTCGTTAGATGCCGGGCGTGCCAGGAGGCGCAAGGCAATGCCACTTGCACATGGACTTACATATCTATACATTAATAAATAATATGGAAACTACTGCAGCTGCTGCCAGCTGCAAAGTCGAACAGCAGGTCGATATTAAATGATCATTAGCACACAGAAAACAAATGCAAAAAACAAAAAAAAAAAAACAAAAACTGTTGCAAACTTTTACAATTTTAACCAAAATATCGTGTAATACCCATGCCCAGGCCAAACTTGCTAAACTTCCTGCCAATAACAATTGAGACATCTGCTCATTGCGCACTCTGTCGTTTATTTATTTTTATTTATTTATTTTATTTTGTTTGATATTTTTTTGCACATTGTCATTTGTCACATGCCAAGAGGGCTATAAATGCGCTACGGAAGGCAAAGGCAAAGGCAAAGGCTGAAACTTGCCGGCTGCATGATTCACCAGGCTTTTCTTGTTGGTTCTGTGACGACATCAACGCATGCCGACGCCCCCGCAGCGCGGCATAATAAATATTTTGTTTAAGGTTATCTGTCGTCGGGCTGCTTAACTCGCATTTGCCAAACTCATTGGCATGTCGCCAAAAATTTCGACGCCATATCCAGAGTCGCGTTGGCCATTTGATTATATTAGTCATGCTTACAAAAAAAGCCATATGACGCTCGGGCAACCGCCCACCCAGCCACTGAGCCACCTAGTCAAGAAGCTAGAGCCCACAACAGCTTTTACTACACACACACACACACATACACACACAAAAGACAACGTCAACGTCAGTCGACCCTTATTTTATGGTACTACACAAAAAAAAAACATGCCCTACCATATATAGACGGGGCTTAGGAACGGGGCAGGACGAACAAAAAGCTTTTCATTCATCAGAAATAATCAGGCGAACAAAGTCTTGTGGCCACTGTGTGTGCGTGTGTGTGTGTGTGTTTGTGCTTGTGTGTGTTTGTCTATGTGCCATTTGGTGTAGAGTTTGCGCTGCGCAAATTTCACAATCGCGTTCTATTTTTTGGCCCGTTCTAGTATCAAGCGACTATTTTGGTTAGCTCAGAGCTCCTGCTGCCAACTTGACGAAACTTTTGCTGCTGCTGCTGCTTCTTCTTGCTCGGGCTGCCTTTGTTTCTATTTTTATTTCTATTTATGTGCGTCTTCAATTGCCTAAAGGGATTCATTCATGAAATTTGACAGTCTGACGCGAGGAAGCAAACAAAGCGATTAAGCTTTTTATTTTAATTGCCCCGAGTTTGGCTATTTTTAGGCCAGCCGCAGCGCGAAACCAAGTGAGCGACCTACGAAATTCAATTTTTATTGATTCTCTTTCACATTTGAATGAGCTGCACACAGATTAGCATAGAATAAAACTGTCTGTCCCTGATTGACAAGCGCTTTTTGATTTTATGGCCCTGAAACCAATTCAACTGTAGACAAGTTTCTCAACTATAATAAATAATAATGTTTATATTTTTACTGTATATATAATAAATAAATATAGATGAGTTTCCTAAGGACAAAAATTAATAGTATTTATTTTATTTATAATTTATTGTACATTTATTACATTTAGTTTTTCATTTCTTTTCATTTATTTATTGCCGACTTATGAATTTATTAAATTATTGTTATTATTATTATTTTGTATTTTATTTAATTATTTATTTATTTATTTATTTTTTTTTTTTTTATTTAATATATATTCATATATATTTTTATTTTATATTTTAATCACAATTACATTTATTTCTGTATATTGTTGGTTCTACAAAAATTCCTCGAATACTGATATCCAACGAATCTTCTCTTATGAAGTTAGATTTTTAAATTAAATACTCCACTTATATTTAATTTAAGTACCTTATTAAATATAAGAACCTTGTTCAACATAAATATATTTAATTAAATCTTTCTTTATATGCATAAATTCTTGTAATTTTAGATCATTCATTCTTAACTCTGTTGGCAATTTAAGGGGATCTTCAGAGCGTCTGCTCTATTTGCGATTGTCGCGCAGTCGCAAATTTTTTCTTTTTGTTTTCCCTCTGGTTGTTGTTTTGTTGCCTTCCTCAGAGAATCACTTTCGCTCTCTGAGAACAGCTGTGGCTGGCCCAAGCTTTCGTCAAGTTATTGCCGAAAGCTCGCTGAATGCAATCCACATGGCAACAACATCCTTGAACAAAAGGATATGCGCGTGCTTTTGTGGCCAGTACGCGACGTTAACTCATGGCATACACACACGGCAGCGGCAGGTCCGACCCACACACAGACAGAGACACACACACGATATACATATACACGGACACGCTCACGCACACGCACACGCACACGACGCACACACACAGGCGCAGGCAGAGAGAGTTTGTGTTTGGAAATTGAAGCGCCAAGTGCCAGTGGCCTAGAAATAATGTGCGAAAATAAAAGTTGAAATTAATAAATAAGGAAATTCCATGTGCAGCGCTGTCGATGAAAAGTGCAAGTGAAAAGTGCCTAAAGCAGAACCAACGAAATCTCACACACACACACACACACATGTACAGCCATTGCTGAACACACACACACATGCATACACACACGCACGCACACACACAGTGAGACCCACACAAAGAAAACATCATATGCCAGAGGCAGGCTGTCGCTTGGCAGGCACATTGACAGCAACAGCAACATAAAGGCAGCAGGAGCAGCAGGAGCAGCAAAAAGCATTTTGTGTATCCTATTTTGTGTGTGAGCGAGCGCGTGTCCAAGTCCGTGTCCGTGTCCTTTGCCACAGCAGTAGCGACAACAAAAGCAGCTAACGGCAGTAGCAGCAGTAGCAACAGCAACAACAGCAGCAACAACAACGGCAACAGCCAACCGTAGCACAGCAATTACGGCGTGTAGTTGCTATAATGATAGATTTCAAAACAAAATTGAGCAAATTATCGTATAAAACGTGCCCCGGTTGGAAAATCTAAAAATAACACAACGCCAATTCCGAGCCGAAGTCGAAGTCGAAGTGGAAGTGGAAGTGGAAGTGGAAGTCAAAGTCGAAGCCAAAAACCAAGTGCCGTCTGCCCAACTGACTTTAAATTATGCATGCACATTGATTTTCTGACGCGTCGACGTCGACGTCGTTGTCGTCTTTACTTTCCTATTCATTGTCGTTAACAACAACAACAACAGCAACATCATCCACATCAACAGCAACAACAGGAACAGACCCTGCCTATATATTGGCAATCTCGTAAAGTCATTTCTCGTCCTGCGTTCAGCCCGCATCGCATGTTATCAACGGAACTGACGTCGACGGCGTTGTGGAATGCGAATTATCAGCGCACCAACGGCCTAACAAAAGGTAAGCACTAACAGTAGCAGCAGCAGCAGCAACAACAACAACCACAAGAACCGCTAGTCATTACATTAGGCAGAAGCCACAACATATTATGCATACGCATGATGTGCGCGGGCCCTCGGGACGTATGTGTAATATTCGAAATCATTCGGCAAAATGTATACAAAGATGCGCCCAAGATAGCAAGCATATGAAATTTAATGGCTGTTCATTATGTGAAAAAAGTCAAACAAGCTAAATGAAAGCTATTAAAATTACGTTAAATGCGTGCAGGCCGAATATAAATAGCGAAAATATTCGGGGAGTATTTACTCAGAGAGAGTACACATAAGTGTATATATTTTATATACCTATAAATAGAATTCATAAAATAAATAAATGACGATTTTCATTCATGATATATAAGGAATTACATCAATTTTAAAATAATTAACATAATATAAATAAAATATATGTATATGTAAATAGAAAGTGCATCTATATTGATACGTATATTTTATATATAAATATGAATAAAATTATATATTACTTCTCTCATCATAATAATAGAAAAATCTTTATTTATTTCCTGAATTAATTAATAATAATTCAATTCAAATCAAAGAAAATAAATAAATCAATATAAAGTCAATAAATTATATATTTATACATATATAAATATATATCGAATATATGTTTAAATATGAATAAAATTATATATTACTACTTTTCCCATCATAATAATATAAAAATCTTTATTTTTTCCCAAGTTAATTAAAAATAATTCAATTCAATTGAAAGAAAAGAAATTAATCAACATATGATGAATGAAGCAATATAAAGTAAATAAATTATATATTTATATATATATAAATATATATATATTTAATATATATTTAAATATGATTTTTCTCATCCTAACCAAAAATATCGCTATTTATTTGCCGAACTAATTAATAATAATTAAATTCAAATGGAAGAAAAGAAATAAATAACATATGGTGAATAAAGTAGTATAATGTAAATAAATTATATACCTATATATATAAGTAGAAAGTGAATATACATATTTACGTATATATTTAATATAAATATAAATATTGAAATATGTATGTATATTTCTCTCAACATAGCTAAAGGAAAATTACTATTTATTTGCTGAATTAATCATTAATAATTAAATTCAAATCAAGCGAATTTTGTTATGCTCTGCATTGGAAATGAATTCCTACAGCAAAGCTGAATAATATTTTGCTAGTTGCTATCGATTGGTTTAAACTGAACTAAACAATTGTAAATTTGTTATACATTGCATCAAATCTTAATAGACTGCAAGTAGTAATTTACTAAATTTATAGTCATTAAAACATCGCTCAAGATTTCCTGGCTAAAGTTTAGCTAACTGATTAATAGCTGCTCATTATGGCTATTCACTGGTCTCAAAGTTTAGCCAGTTAATCCATTACAGACAGGAGCAGTTCATTAGGTACCACAATAGTTAAGCTCTTAAAAGCCTTCAACTTGTGTAATGCGCCCGCAACAGCATAATTGAAAGTGAGTTGGAGCTGCCGTGTCATAGTTGCCCTTTGTCGCATCGGCAAATTGAATTAGACTGCCATAAAGTACATTCGCAGCTCATTTGCTGCGCTTATTAACACATGCACATGCACTCATTAACACCCTCTCACGCACACGCACACACGCACACACTTACGCACACAGGCAGAGACTCCGTTATGGTTTATTCTTTGTGCTCAGCTGCCAGAGGACTGCGATGCTGCGTCATTGTTGCCATTATATTTGCGTTTAATCTGATTTCAATTATAATTTCATTTAACAGCGCTAATGCGCTTTGGCACCCACTCGCAGTGGCAGCCGTAGGAGCCACTGTCCCTGCCATGTGCCCATCCTTCCCTCTCTGTGCCTATGCCTGTGACCCTATTTCTCTCAATCTCTGCCTCCCGCTCCCTCTCTCTCTCTCTCTCGCTCTCTGGCTTTTCCTGCCTATTTGCTGTGGCCCTTCTTAAATACAATTTATTACGCTGACAGCTTCTTGGTAGCTGAGGGCGTTCGAATTTCCATGCATGCGCTTTGGCCAGCGTCAACGGTAACTGGCACCGGAAATACAGTTATAAAATGTCAACAACAATGCAAACTCATGCTAGTTCTACATTTCCGGTATGCAAGTTGCCCAATGACGGCGTTGACAACGCGTTTGCATATGTGTGTGTGTGTGTGTGTGTGTGGGCTGGCTGACGTTGACTGTAACGATTTTATGGCTTGATGTCATGCATTGAGCAACAACAACGCAATAACAGAAACAATAACAACCACAACACCCACACACACACACACACACACACACACACACGAATATGCAATTGTAAATTTGGTTAAACATGCAATAGGGGCGAAAGTTTTGAGTTTATGACTCCTATTAAGGGACCCAAATTGCATTAATTATATAAATTGTTGGCACATTATAAATAACCATGCAGTTTTGCATATTTTTAGGCAATACAACAGAAATTTCATGGAAATTATACAAGTTACCTCTATATCAATGATTGAAGCGATTGTGAGAGATATTAATGGAAATTATGACAGATTTAGATTTATTACATTTGAATGAGTTTTTAGGCTGGATTAAGTGATCATACATTAAAGCATTTATGGATTAATATGAAAGAAATGATAATATGTTATTAACATAATTTTATCCCTTCAGCCCGAAGGCTCAACCATTTTTTCCATGCAAAGATTCTTATGTATGAACAAATATTAAATAATATAAGACAAATAAAAGTGGAAAAAAATTAATTTTGCGTTTCGATTTAGTTTGCCACTAATGCCGAAATATTTTTATTTTTAATAGATTATATACTGGACAGTCGGTAATCTTAGTTTGCAAATATTATTAGAAGTTATATTTATTAAAAGTTATATTTATATTTTTTAGAAGTTATATTTATTTATATTATATATTAATTATATTATATTAATTTTTATGAATATATATATATTGTCAATGAATATATTTTGGTTTTATGGCAGTTTCTCTAAAACTTATAAGCAGAACTGTATAACGCCATTATAGATACATGTACGTCTAAATGAAACACATTTAATATTAAAAAGTTGTCTGCATATGACTATACACCATCATTATATATCTACATATACAAAATCCCAAATGAGGAACATATATTCTTTCATATCATAATCTTAAAAAGTTATTTATAGAGCAACGTCTCATGTACATTTCCTCTATCTGTCTTTTTCTCACGCGCAGATGAGGCTTGCCTGTCGACGACATATGAACATTGCAGCAAAACGGAAACAGCGACAACAACAGCAGCAGCAGCAGCAGCAACAGCAGCAACAGCAGCAGCAGCAACATCAGCCGCAGCAATGACCAAACAATTGACAACAACAACGGCGACAAATGCAGCGTCTAGCATCACACAAGCGGCTAATTTGGCGCCCACGGTGATATCGCCCACAACACCAGGCGCGACAACAACAACAACAGCAACAACAGACGCAGCAGCGCCAGCAGCAGCAGCAGCAGCAGAGACAATAAAGACGCAGAGGCAGTGCAGAACAAAAGCCTCCTCAGCAGCATCAACAGCATCCGCAGCATCCGCAGCATCGGCAGCGACTGCAACAAAAACAACTTCTTCAACGGCATCAAGTGATGCCAGCGGGCGTTCGGCGGCTCTGGAACGTGCCTACGTCCATGATGTGTATGAGCACTGCGAGGAGCCGGCGAGGCCGGCGCGACCGCGAGTGGCACAGTTTCTGGGGAACCTGGAGCCGGGCTCGGTGGTCTGCGACGTGGGCTGCGGCAGTGGGCGTTACCTGACCCAGTGCAATCCCGCCATATGCACCATTGGCGTCGATCGCTGCTACCGCCTCAGCAAGGTGGCGCACGAGAAGGGAGGCGAGGTGAGTGGGCCGCGCCGGGCCGGCTGCCTGAATGCCATGCAATTGTAATTGATGTGGGTAAATTACTTTAAAGTGGGTCTTACAGCTGTGCCTGTGTGTGGGGGCGTGTCTGGCTGGCTAGATAGATAGATGCACATTTTTGTATTCATGCGAACAATAGTTCATTTGTCCTACTCTTATCTCTCTCTCCCTCTCTCCCTCCCTCTCTCCCTCTATCGCTTTCTGTTGGCATACAATTGACCCATTTTAGCCATGGCCAAGCCATCGCCTTTATTGCAGCGCATAAATTATGCTTATCATTTGAAATTATTTGCACATGTTCCCAGGGCTTTGGCGAGCGCTGAGCTGAGCTTTAATGCCCCCATAATTGCAATGGCCAACAATGGAGCCATAAAACGAACAGCGCTTTGGTCATTAGAGAGCAACTAATAAAGTGCAGCCGTCGCTGCAGTCAAGTGCATTCAAATCGATAACAAGCCCAACTGAGAAATGCCAACTGGAGACTCTCTGGCTCCGCTCGACAGCAGGCGGCCATATTTCTTGGGCCGGCTGCAAAGCTGTGCAAATTTAAATGCTCAAATTTATTGCTTTCAATTCAGTGCTTGACCAAAAGTTTCAGCTGCAACAATTTTAACAGAACTGCATGTGAGAGTGCAGCACCGACTGCACAGTGCTCGTTCATGGTCCACAAATAGTTTGCCAAGTCTCGAGAGCGAGTGGGTGGCAGAACTAGAGTGCTCATTAGTGTAGATATATCTATGTATGTGTAGGTATGTATCTATGTTTGGTTAATTTATTAGACGAGTTTCTCATTAAACTATAAAACTTTGATTTAAGATTTGGGATTATTCACTCGAATTCGAAACCTCTATATAAGCTAATAAATGGAGAGATATATGTATGTACGTCTCTCTGTCCATCCATCGTACAAACTGATGAGTGGATGGCAAATACGAATGAATGAGAAGCTAAAGAAATAATGCAAAAAATCAATACATGCTCCTTTAATTTCTCTGCAAGAGCAAAATCAAGGAATATTTCGCAATTTGAGAAATACAATTTTGGTCTAGCTTCAAAGTAGAAATTGAAATGTTTTATGAATTACAATCTTCTTAATGAGCAATACGGTTCATTTATGCATATATATACTTTCCCAAGTCTAGCCTACCCTAGCAGCAGTTGCTGCAGAGTAAGAGCAAACTAGAAAAGCATTTACAAATGCAAATTATAAATAAAGCTCAGCTTTATGGAAAACAAAACAAGTTTTCCCCAAGGCAATTTGTATGAATAATAATGAAACCAATTATTCAGCTTGCTTCTGTAACATGTTATATATGTACAAATATATATTTGTATGCATATACTTGACTTCATTCGGATATTTATGGCATGCCTTTAAAAATGCAACTACTTTGCAGTTAGTTGGTTGCCGTTGAATTAATTTTCATTGTGTTCACTTGTTGTTCAATTTGATTGTTGTTTCTCTTTTTTCACTGTTGCTGTTGTTGTTGTTGTTGTTGTGAAGTCCACAACATTTCCGTTTTCTTTATAGCAGCGAACAATAAATTTCGTTTCCCAGCTGCCAGCTCCCAGCGCCCAGCTCCCAGAGGTATGCAATAGTTTTTGCAATAATCTATTACACGCGCTTCGTTTCGCTTGGCTTCGCTTATTTATGGTGCCATTTGCAGGCGAGAAATGCCATTTTCTAAGAAATGCATACTATTCACCGCTCCACAATCATCATGCCCGCAAGTGAAAGCAGGAGAGGGAGAGGGTGCGGGAGTGCGCCTCTTAGCGCCGCGCCCTAGGCTCTGTTGCAGGCATTTTTCGCATTTAAATTGCATTCGCTGGCATTGCGTGGGGCTCGAAGTTCGCATGTAATAATGGCGAGGACAACAACGAGGACGGCGTCGCCTAGGGTTACTGTTCAATGGAATCGCACCCGGCCAGGGCTGCCACCCCTGCCGCCTCCTAGCCAAGCGGCAAAGTGCACACAATTTAGTCTAAATGCTTTCATTTATTTAATAACCAGTCCCATTGCCATTATCCCCGGACAGGAGAGACGGCGTAACGTGTCCATGATGGGTTGATTGTTGCAATTGTTGAGTCCTTGACATTTCATTGTTATCCATTAGGGGCAATTATATTCTTGTTTGAATTAGAAAAACTTAAATCGTATACAATTTTATACCAACTAAATTGCGATTAGTATTGATTAGATCGTTTAAAGGGCATTGAAAGGTCTGAAACTACGTATTCGAAGGCTAATATATAATTTATGCGAAATTATCTTTAATGAAAAAGAGTAATTATTTTATATTAGTACTTAGAAATTCAAAGAGTAAAGAACAGGCTGCCCAGAATGGCCCACATTATGGCCAAGTTTTGTTTTATATGTTTCCATAAACTGAAAATATGAGATACCTTAGCTTAACATATGTAAAACCTCAGTCAGACAGAGGCAGCTCTATAAACTATATGAACGACCTGTAAATTTTCAGTTAATAACAGAGATTACGGGAAAATAAGGAATATATGAAGTTTTACCTCTCTATTAGCTGACTCTTGAGTATCATAAGTATAGAAAATATACGAGAATTTTTAAGCTCTATTGTACTTTCTTTCTCTCAGACTCTCTCTCTCTCTCTCTCTCTCTCTCTACTCAGCAGACTCGTCTGCCTTACAACTTAAGAATGAATGGGTTATATCTGTTGCAGGGTTACATCTGTTGTATACACAGCTAAAAAAATATATATATGTATCTAAAAATAATATTATTGAGCTATGCATATAATTTATGCAATATTAAATGCCCACAAGCGGAATGTCGCTCTCTGCATTTATATAAACGCATTAGAATAGCTGAGCATGCCAAGGGCATTATTTAAATTACAATATGTCGAATTTGTCTTTTTTTATGTTGAATACGGATGATATGTCAACTGTGTGCATGTGTGTGTGTGTGTGTTAAATAAACTTAAATGTATAAAATGTAAAAGGCGTAAGCGACTCACGTGACCTGCATACGAATGCAGTTTGATACTTTGATTGCGACTGTTACTGTTGCCATTTTTCCACAAAAAAAAGGAGAAGAAGAAGAAGCAGCAGAGAAAAGCAAGATAAAAACGAAAACTATGTGAAAAACCAATTTAACTTCGACTATATTTACATATATCTGCTGCTGTTGCTGTTGCTGCTGCTGGTACAAAAAAGTTTCAGTTGCTGTCAGGCAACTTTGATTTCAGAGCTCGTGCATGGCCTGATTTACTATAATTTTGTAAAGCAAAACAAAAAAAAAAAAAAACTGCCAAGTGGAGCAGGCTATGCAGCAGGCATTAAGCAAATAACACACACACACACACACTCACACACTCACACATACATTCGTGCACGCAGCCTGCACTCATAAATTTTGTTGCTGCCCGAAATGACGCATTGAAAAGGAAAAACAAGAAGGCAGCAAATAAAAAAAAAGCAGCACCAAAAGGCAACAACAAAAAAAAAAAAAGGATGAACTCAGCGAATGCAATGAGATTCGTTGCCAGCTCCTCTTCTTCTTCTTCTTCCTTCTCTTCTTCTATCGCTTTTCAGGCCAAATCTTTGAGCTTTGTGCCCGTCGACTGCTGTCGACCTGCCGCAGCCATCAAGACCTCCACCTGTTCTCTTCGCTTTTATGTGCTCTGTGGTTCGTTTAAGCGCCATTTAAATAAGCTGCTGCCAGCCAAAGCGGGCTAAAGCAGATGTACAAAAATGTATATACATAGATATACATATATATACTTGAATTTCTCTATATGTATTTGCGATTGTGTTTTTTCTACTCGTTTTGCTGTGCAGCTTGGCTGTGTTTTGGCCCCCCTTATTAGTGTGCAACGCGGCGTATGCGTAACGTGTTTCACCTGACGCTCACAATATTAAGACGGAGCTGCATTGAAAACTTGTCAACATAAATTTCTAAAGCGTAATGTGCACGACCAGTGTGACATTACACACCCACAAAGAGACTGTGTGTATGTATTTGTGTGTGAAAAATGGCAACTGCTATAAATACAATTTGTAAAGAGTATGGAGAAATGTCAGCGCGTGCATTCATGACACCGGAACATGTGTTTAAAAAAGAATAAAAATCGAGGAACAGAAAAAGCACACACACACACATACATGGGCTGCACACAGCACTAAAGTCGAAAGCGAATGGGCGGCAGTTTATGTGCAGCTCCATACAAATGCCAAAGTCACATAAACAACGCCACGCCCACTAGTGGGCAGCGAAATGGACTCGATTTTTTTTTCAATTCAGCAGAAATATTTATATGGATCGAAACATAAAAGAGCTAGCGAAAGGATTATTGTGGCTTAATAATGTTTTTTTTTATCCATATAGATGTAGATGCTATATATATTCCTACATAATAATATAAATATAACTTTTGCTGCTCTAAATGAAATCCAAGCATAAATTTCTGGCTGTGGCTTTACACAATTTCTATTGCAAGTCAGGCTACAAACTTGACGAACTTTCCATTTCATGGAAACACGAGAAACTTTCTCGTCATCCACATAGCATTTGGCGTTGCATTTGCACGACCTCAGCACCTGCCGCTGTCAACTCTGAGAGCAAACACTTTACTTAATTGATATTTAGCTGCTGATGTTCAGCAAAAATACGAAAAATAAGAACTAAAATGAAAGAGAACGAAAATAAAAGTGTTTTGCCACAGGCTGAGCTGCAACGTCTGTTGCATGGGTCCTTGGATGACATGCCCAAGCACCTGCCTGGTCAGCTGCCGTTGTTACAGATCCACACAGCGGGACGAGGGGCTGCAGGACTGCCGCTTTGGCTGGTGGGTCAAGGCTGTTGCAGTACCACACACACACTCACACACACACACACATACACGAACCGAACGAACGATATCTGGCATTATTGCAACGTACAAATTATATTTGGGGCACGTGCAACGCAAGAGGGGCCACATATGCCCAGCCATTGTCCAAATGAATAGATATTTCACACAAATTCACGTAGCCAGGCAGCGGCTGGTAACAGTAGCCGCATTGGTATTGGTTTGGCAGCACGATGCATTAATTCATTCAGTGTAATCGATGCTAGTTTATTGGAAATCGCATTCCATGGAAAATTGTAAATGAATCGTGAAATGATTGAGCTCCTCGCATACGTGCGAAAATGTCCATTGCACAGCACAGCTCGTCCACATACGGACTGAATTTGTCCCCGATTTGTTTACTTCCCTTCTGATCAAAGTTAATTGACACTTTGAACACTGGCCGTAACAGGGGAGTGAATATAAATGACATGTATCTATAAAAAATATACATATATATAAATAAAAATAAACAAGCCACACACGCACACACACACTCCTTCATGTGCAGGCAGTTGAGTAAGGTCAGTTCACTGGGCACACATTTTTTTAAACGAACTTTTTCAATTGAAGCGAACAGAAACAAGACCAACTCAATGCAGATGGCCCAACCGACCACTACATGTGTACGTGTGTGTGTGTGTGAGTGTGTGTGAGTCTGTGTACACTCGCTGTGGCACTTCAATGGCAAATTGGGTAAACCAACTAGCAATTTTCATGAGGCGAGCGTGTTAACTTTGTTTTCACCCAGCTGAACAGAAATTCAGTTAATTGCAAACTCTTGTTGCCAACCGAAAACTTCCAACTAGAATTTCGGCAGCTATGCAAATTGCATTAAAGCATTTTCTATGAAAATCCAAAAATTGTTTTCATTTCATTTCTAATTACGTTCCCTGGCAAAGCTGAAAGTAAACTCAAACTTTGCCAAGCTCATGCATAAGAAATATTTAATGCAATCATAGGTAGTTGCTAATTCAGTTAAACTATATTAAATTTGAGTGCGAAATATTATTTTAGCTATACTATTTTACTTCTTTAGCAGTAAGAGAAAGTACTTTTGTCATTTCATCAACTGAAACTAGTTTTAAATATTTTTAGCTATTGCTTAGAATATTATTCATAAATTTTATTTTTAATATTCCTTTCAATTTTTTGTTTTGTTTATCATTTCTCTTGCTTCTGCTCTCACATAATATATGCTTGAAGCTGTATGCAATTAAAATTCCTCAAATAAATACAAAGCCCTAAATGCAGCTTGGCCCTTGGAATTTGTTGCATTGCTAGTGTCTCACAGGTTTTCGGTTTGCGCAACGCAAACGCAACATTCTCAAGTGAAATTAATAAAACGTAACTAAAAGAGAGCAGGAGCAGCAGCAGGAGCAGTAGCAGGAGCAGCTCAGGAATGCCTTTGGTTGGTTACTTAGCCAGCGGTCAGCTTTGCTTAGCTGCAGTTATGCAGCAGGAGGCAGTTGAGGCGTGGGCGCAGTAGGTGGGGCTAGTTGCTAGGGGGATCTGCTACAGAAGTGAAGGAGCAGAAAGAGAGGGAGAGAGAGAGAGAGAGAGAGACGGTGGCGTCTTGCGTAATTTAATTGGCTGAGCATGCAGCAACTTTAACTCGTATTTCCCTTGGCACCGAGTGGCTCGAAATTACATTGCCCTCTTTGGCCCACAGGTGGCGCTGTGTGACAATCTGGAGCTGCCGTTTCGCGATGATAGCTTCGATGCGGTGCTCTCGCTGGCCGTAGTGCATCACTTCGCCACCACGGAACGGCGCGTCAGGGCGCTGAGGGAGCTGGCCCGCATTCTGCGCGTAGGCGGCCGAGTGGTAATCACTGTGTGGGCGCTGGAGCAGCGCCATCGACGCTTCGAGTCGCAGGATGTGCTGATACCCTGGCAGCCGCCCAAGAATCGCACCTACTCTTACTCGTACTCCGACGAGGAGGAGGACGGAGACTTTCTGCCGCCCTATCATGCGTACACGGAGGACTCGACCAATTCCAGTCGCTCGGCCGGCGATGGCGACAGCTCAAGCCTCAGCTCATCCTCGCCCGGCGAGTCCTGCTACAGCTTCGTGCGCCGCGCCATACAAGTGAGTAGAGCCGTCGATATCAGGATGTGCATAGGCATTACTAATTTGTGGTTTCCATTTGCAGAAATTGGCTGGCGGACGTCGTCATGCCTGGTTCCTGGACTCCTGGACCTCCAAGGACACCAAGAACGACAGCAGCCTGGACTACGAGGATGCCAAGGATCTGCCCATCGAGCTGCGTCGCCTCGAAGACTTTGAGGACTTTCCCGATCCGCCGCTCTCCGCAGGCCTCAAGTCACGCAGCTTGGGCAGCATCCTGCAGCCGCCGCCGCGACAAATAGTGCGCTCGCGCTCCAGCGTGCCCAGTCTGGGCGGTCCTTTGGTGCCCGTCGAGACGAAGGCCAGCGCCGCAGCCGCCCTCCTGCTCAGCGCGCCCGATGCCCAGCTGCAGCTCAATGGCCGGCACTCGCCGACGAGCACCGCCAGCGCGGGCAGCACACTGAGCCGTCGGCCCAAGCTGATCAAGCAGAAGCAGTCGCTGTGCGAGGACGACATCACGCAGCTGGCAGACGCGGCGCCTGAAGCCGAGGCTGCGTTTCACATGGTCAGCAGCTACAATGGCGCCAATGGAACTGTCAGCAGCAGCCTCTACGCGCGCTCTGCCGCCAACCCAGCGCCAGTCAGCTGTCAACAGCCTGGCAGCTCCGCCTTGGCGACGGCAGCAGCAGCGCCCACCACAACTGCTGGAGCGGCGCCCAGCTTCCTGCGCAAGCAGAGCTCCCTGAACGAGGAGCTGATGGCGGGCAATCGACTGCGCGAGAAGGAGCGGGTGCGCAAGCGCATACAGAAGCAGACCTCGCTGAACGAGGCCTTCCTCTGCCGCTCGGCGCTGTTCTCAAAGCGGCTGCAGGTCATCCGGGAGGGATTCACCACCAAGATCAAGAGCTCGACGGGCAGCTTGGAGCGCGTGACCAAGACGGGCATCACGAAGCTCATGCAGAACATCAAAATCTCGCCCGCCAGCCAGACGGCGGCTAATCCGCCAGGCAATGCCCAGCAGGCGAACAACAACAACAAGCAGCCCACGACGCCAGCTGCGCAGACGCTGCAGCAGCAGCATCAGCACCACCACCACCACCACCATCATCACACGAGCAACGCGGGCAGCCTATTCCCAGCCCACCTGCTGCTGTCGTCGGCGACCACTGGCCCAGTCAGCTACTGCAGCGTCGTGGACTGCAGCGCGCCCAACATCTGCCACTGCAGCGCCTATCAGCAGGACTGCGTGGCCTGCGTGGCCTGCGCCGAGAGCGAGCAGGGCAACGCGCGCCGGCACTCGCGCGAGTCCGGCTCCGACTCGTCCAAGGACAGCAGCCTGCAGTCGGACACGAGCATTGAGTCCGAGGACAGCTTCGCCTCGGTCATTTTCATACCCAAGCCGGAGCAGCACCAGCAGCAGCTCAACTACCAGCAGCAGCATCAGAACTCCAACTCCAGCTCCAGCAACTCCAGCTCCAGCAATGGCAATGCCCAGGCGGCCTTGGCTGCGGCGTCCAACCCGAACGCAGCCGCCCAGCCCTGCTGTCTGGCGCGTCTGCCGCCCACACACTCCGTGCCAACATCGCCGCTTGTGATGCCCTGCCCGCCGACTCCTGCCCACTCGCCAGCCGCCATTCAGGGCGCGGTCACCTCGCCGCCCCAGTCCACGGCGTTTGTGACGGCAGCGATGGCCATCTTGACGCCCGTGGCCAGGCCTAATCAAGCGCGCTTCAATTTTGACGAGGCGCACATCAAGCAGCAGCAACAACAGCAGCAACCGCAGCAGCAACCGCAGCAACCACAGCAGCAGCAACAGCAGCAACAGCACCAGCAGCAGCAACAGCAGCAGCAGCAGCAACAGCAGCAGCAGCAGCAGCCGCAGCAACAACAACAACAACAGCAGCAGAAGCAGCAACAGCCACCGATACCCAAGATCACTCGACAAGCGATACGTGAAATGCCGCCCATACCCAAGTTCCGCAAGCAGCAGTCGCTGCAGCTGCAGCGCCAGAACTTTCCGATCGTGCGACGAGCGTCCGGCTCGGGCATGGCCAGCAGCAGCAGCAGCAGCGCCAGCAAGCTGCTCTCGCTGGAGCTGTTCAATCCGGCCACCGACGATCTGGACAGCGACTCCAGTGAGCCCTCCTCGCCGGACTCCATTGACAGTGTGATCAGCGCGCCGCGCTCCGCCCAGCTGCTCTCGGCCCCGAGCACGGGCACCGGCAAGTCCAGCGACGAGTCGGAGCCGGCGGTGGTGCAGCTCATCACGATCAACCAGGAGGAGTACCACAAGGGCGAGCTGCAGATCAACAGTGCCACGCCCAACGAAAACGACATCATACTCAATGCGGACAGCGCTCCGCTGCTGCCCAAGAAGCGCGAGGCTGGCCAGGCTCAGGCCCAGCAGCCGCACGACTGCGCCGAGTTCGCGGAGCAGCTGTCGGCGCAGCTGCAGCGCGAGCTGGACGACAAGAGCAATGGAGCGGAGTGTCGCAGCTTGGATAGCATTGGCGACATTGGGGAGTACTTGAGCGGCGCCGGCAGTGCGGGCGGCGGGAGCTCGAGCAGCGGCTCCAAAAAGCGCTCCAATGGCGATCTGAGCGCGCTGCGGGACGAGCTGCGCGAGCGGCGTCTGATGCTGGCCAATCTGTCGACCCAGCCCAGCCTGCAGCAGTCGCCCATATCGTCGTCCACCTCCTCGCTTTCGTCGCAAACGCGCAGCTTCACCATACACGAGGAGCAGGAGGGCGAGGAGGAGGATGAGGAGAACGAACGCAGCTACACCCTGGGCATCTACGAGCACTGCAAGATCTCCAAGTTCAACTACAAGCGCCATCGCCACTATAATCTCAACCCGGAGACGGCCTACCTGCTCCAGGACGATGGCGACAGCGACGTGCGCGACGACGAATATCGTGAGTAGACAATGTCCTGTATGTTAGGGACTCTAGACTATAATCCATTTGGTTTTCTCTATGCAGCCATACCCGAGGAGGATGAGGATGCCGAGGCGCTGGAGGCACGCGGCGGCGACCAGCTGGGCGAGGGCATGCACGAGTACGGGCAGCGCAGGCGCAACTTCAGTGCCATCAAATCGGTGACCTCCAGTGCGTCCAGCTCCACGGAAACGCCGCCCGCGCAGCAGTCCACGCAGCAGCAGGCACTGCAGCAGCGCACCTCCGCCGATTCGCTGGAGCACTCGAATAGCTCAAACACCTCGCTGGACAGCCCCTCGCAGGGCGGCTCCACCACCCATCATCGCTACTACCACGTGTTCCGCGAGGGCGAGCTGGACGCGCTGATCAATCACCATGTGGCCAGTCTGCATATTGTCAGCTCCTACTACGAGCGGGCCAGCTGGTGCGTTGTGGCCGAGAAGGTGCAGGTGTGGACGATCTAAGTTAGTAACCTAAGAGTAAAATAATAATAATAATAATAATAATTTAAAAAAAAAAAAAAAAAAACTAACTAAAATAATCTATTTATAAACAAAAAGTGTAATTGGAATACCCAAAAAGTCTCTGAAGCCCCCAAAGGAATTGTTAAATTTAGTCTTTATTCATAGTTGAGAGAACGCAAAATTTAGCACTAAATTTTAAGTATTCGTAACGACTCTTGCTTAGGGTTGCCAGGCCTGCTCAACGGCAGGGCTGCCGCACTGCATTGAAATTGAATTTCAAGTAAACCGTTTAGTTCTTAAGCCAAAATCGAAAGAAACAAAATCGAAACAACGCAAATTACGAGAGGATGAAAACGTATTGTATCAAAACTAAACAAATTTAACGATATATATACAAAGATCACTTACAACGACTATCGAATTTCATTTACCATCACAACATGGGAATGTTTTCTAAATACCATTTTATTCCACACATCCACAAATATACGAATAATTACAGTTATAGCGAAAATCTAACTAGGAGTTACTTAAACCGCGAATCAATAGAGAAAATGCAAAAACCATATCTAAGCATCTATATATATATATATATATACCAAGGCTTTATACACAAAACATAATGAAAATATTGTCGAAAAACTGAAATCTATCTAGCCACATATACAACTATTGAAATGAAAGTGAAAATCAATACGTAAGTTTTCTAATATCAATAACTGCATTTAACAATACTCAATGCAAAACTAATCAAAAGGGAAAAGCAGCAGAAATATATAGAATCGTATATACATTTTGCAGAGCTCACAATAATAATTGTATAACAATTTCAATAATTTTTTGTAAATTTCCAACTTTGATATTTACTTAGCACATATTTGTTTCTATTAAAAAAATAAATAAAACAAAAATTAAATGGAAACATAAACGATTTAAGTGAAACACTTCCCAAACGGCCAACAAACCCGAACATATGAAATATTAAAATATATGTTAATAATTCATTTTTGTCACCTAAGGCGAAGTTATTTAAAAAATAACGCAAGTTTTTTCAATATGTATATTTCGACTGTACATGAGATTTTTAGATAGCTAAACTAAACTTTATACCGTACAATATTAGAAAATGAAAAGTTGGATGATTAAATTAGAACGCAACTTCGAGACACTATGAGATCGATTTATAATTACGTATATGCGCTCGATATGCTGAATATGTATTTACAAAATATTATAGTATATACATAATTAGTATTATGTAAATCGAAAATACGTATTATGTATTTGCACGACCCACACAGAGATAGACACTACAGCTGCAAAAAAGTAACATACACTACCAGACAAATTCAATAAATTAAAAACAAAATGGAAAAACAACAATATGTTAAGCGTAAAGAGAAACATTTAATAAACTACAGCTACCAATACTTACAAATGAAACATGTATTTTGACTATTTCATTATTTCATAACGCACTTTTTTAAAGGAAATAGCTTCTTACGTGCTTGGCAGCACTATTTAGATTTGGCCGCACTGTTAATACGCAATTGATGGCAGCACTAAGTCGATAAGTGAAGCTATCGAAAATACTCGATTCTTGCAGTGTTCCTATAGATTAAATAAACTAATTTAATTTTGCATATATCGCACAAGTTTATTAGATAAAATAGGGCTTTGAAATATATATATATATTACGTGTAGTGACTGTATTGGTGCTAATGTCAATTTTGAATTCAGAGCGCGCAAATTCCTATACGAAGCAAAAGTATCGATACGAAAGTCGTCAATCAGAAGCATGTTTTTACTGCGTAGGTCGAATTTTTCGCACATAAACATGGGAGATGTGACGTCACACAAAGCAGTTTTCATTACATCGCCAATTTAAAGATCTATTAAACAGTTTAGCAGTGTTCTAATAGCTGATTAACTACTGAAATTAATATGTTTCTTACTTTTAGGCAGTAGTTACACTCATTTACGTAAATTGACTCTTGGTCAAGCAGACGCCAAGAGAGCAATTGGACTCTCATTGCAATGCAACCTCTCTCTAGCATTCGCTCCACACACACTCAGCTCTCTCAATGCAACCTCGACCATCGTTTTACACATCCATACAGACCAGAATTTCGTCGTATTTAAATTAAATAAAATGCAGTGAAAAACGGAGTACAATTTGTAAAATTAACGCGAAATGGCTACCCAAAAGCCTGGCGAGTGGGCGACTGGTCTGCTGACTCGGTTCGAAGATCAGGTAAAGGTTTTACAGCATTTTCAATATGTTGCGTCGCGCTGTCTTCGAGCAAAGTGAAAAAATGTACCTGCTGCTGGTGTTGTTTTGGTGTGGGTGTCGGTGTTGAGGAGGTGGGGTCTGGGCGCAAGTGGGGCCGGCGAGGCTTCATTCATGAAATGCCGAGCTCTGATTTGTTGAATGAAGTGCCGAGACGCGCATACCCTTAATGGCACATATTGCGACTCACAAATAAAGTTCTGAATTCAAATTAGCGATTTTATTTGAAAATAAACAAACGCGTTTAGATAAATAAATACATCAAAAGCTGTTAAGCTGTAAATAATAAAACTTCTTCATTTGCAGCTTCCATACAAAATCGGAGCATATGGCACTCAGGCTCGTATGAGCCAGGACCAGTTGGTGACATGCCTCATACACATCTCTCGATACCGCTTCTCACTGGTCATCTCCGGTCTGACAAAGATGCTGCAGCGTGTCAACGAGGCTGTAAGTATCTCATAATCCTACAATTACGAAAGGAAAATACTAATTATAAATAATTACAGGCGCGACAACCGCGTCATGAGCCTGAACGCTGCTACTTTGAATCTCTGGTCATCATATTGACCACACTGGAGCGCTGCCTAACCAACCAAACAAAAGATACCGCACGCTTTGAGGAAGCCATGAATGTAAAGCTCCTGTTACGCGAAATTTCCCAATTTGTAGACGTGCAGAGCGATAACAATCCCAATGCGGCTCAACTAAAGGCTCTCGCCTCCAAGGTGCTCTTTGCACTGTCCCAGAATCATTTCTCGGCGGTCTTCAACCGCATATCAGCACGCATTCAGGAGTTAACCTCGTGCTCCGAAGAAAATCCAGATTACAACGATATTGAACTGATACAACACATTGATATGGATATGATCAAGCTGACCAAGCTGTTGCAAGGTATAACAGCATCGACATTATTGTCGAATTTGTATTAATTATTGATCCCTTGCAGAAACAATTACCAAATTTCGCTCAAAGCGCGCACCGCCTCTCATTTTGCTGTACTCCTTAGAGAAGGCCATATGGAATTGGATCGAATATCATCCACAGGAATTTCAGGACTTGCAACGCGGCACTAATCGCGATATCTCAACGTTAGCTAACTTACATTTTATTATGAAATTCAACTAATATAAAATGTGAATTTCAGCTGCTGGGAACCCCTGCTGGACTTTGTTGAGTACTTCAAATCTGAGAATAAGAAGAGCAAAACTTTAGTTTGGCCCCTGCAAATGCTGTTGCTCATTCTAAATCCCTCCAGCCTGGAAGCCACTGTTAACGAGTTGCAGCAGTCGGAGAAGGAGAAGGAAAAGGAGAAGATGCCCTCAAAGTCGACACAATCCACGTCACGCGACAAAGACTTCTCGGCCAGGCAATTTATCGAGAGCATCAAGCGTGGTCTGGGCCCACATTCGCCATCGAAGCAGGTGACCGAATCCTCGGCCATAGCTTGCGTTAAACTCTGCAAGGCATCCACGTACATCAATATCAATGACTCCAACAATGTGGTCTTCAAGTTGGTCCAATATTTCATTAACGATCTGAAGGCGCTGCTCTTTAATCCCGTGAAGCCCTTTTCACGCGGCCAGGGCTACAATTATGCAGATATTGAACTAATGATTGACTGCTGGGTCTCGTGCTTCCGCATCAGTCCACACAACATAGAGGCTCTGAAAGTGTGCTTGAATCTGTCTTCGCCGCAGGCCTATCACTTCGTTATCGTGTGCTCCTTGTTGCGGTGAGTGAAATGAAATTAGTGAGTGAAATTAAATGTAAATTGCTAATATTCATATGCATAATACCAATTTGTAGCCTAGCGCACATTTATGTGGATTTTCGACTGCAAAATAAGAATCCCTTTCGCATTGTCAACCAGCCGCGTCTTCCCTGGTGGCCACAGACCGACGTTGTGCACTACCGTTCCGCTGAGCTACGCGCTCTCTTCACGGATACACTGAATAAAGCCACGCAGGGCTATATAGCGCACACACCACTGCGCTACATAACTTCGTTAACACTCAAGTCCAAGGACACTCAAAAGGGTTTGACACGTTCGGAGGAGGGACCAGCCCATAAGATGCTATTGCTGCTGTTAGTGCGTCTCATACACGCAGATCCCACGCTGCTCTTAAATGTAATCCCAATCATAAATTATAATTTATAAAACTTAAACTAATTTACAAGTTCCTCATTTCCAGACGCAAGGCAAAGTGGCGCACGAAGTACAAAGCTCAACTCTGGAGCTTATTAATGGCCTGGTAAGCCTGGTGCATCAAACGACCTTGCCGGATGTGGCACAAGAGGCTATGGAAGCCCTACTCGCCCTGCATGCGCCGGAAAAGATCGAAGTCTGGAATCCAGAAGCACCCATCAACACGTTTTGGGATGTCAGCTCACAGGTCCTCTTCTCCATCTCCCAGAAACTTATACAGCATCAGATAGCCAACTACACTGATGTACTTAAGTGGCTGCGTGAAATACTGATATGCCGCAACACATTTCTTCAGCGGCACAAAGACTATGCCCATGTGGGTAGCCAGATTGCCATATGCAAGCAGGCGCACATTAAAATGGAAGTGGTCTTCTTCATGTATTTGTGGAGCGTGGATTTGGATGCGGTTCTGACCTCACTTTCCTGTTTCGGGCTGCTCTGCGAGGAAGCGGAAATCTGCTGCAGCTCCGATGAGTTAACAGTGGGCTTCATCATGCCCAACTACCACATCTACCAGGAGCTAGCACAACTATCTTCATGTGAGCCAAATGCGATTTATAAGTATATCGTGTTAATTTATAGCATCATCCATTCATTTCAGCCGCCACGGATACACGTATTTGTTTCTTTGAGAACAGTCATGGCAACGTGAGCCGTGGGAAACTCCAAAAGCGTATTATGCCACTGCTGCGAAAGATCGAGCACTGTGTGCATGGTGTCCAGCCCGCCTGGGAGGAAACCTTTCGCAACTGGGAGGTGCTCAGTAAGGTGCTCCAGACTCACCCCAAAGTTAAGACCGAGGATGCGCAAGCAGAAGTGTTTCATCGTGGCTTGGGCAAGCGTCGTGCCAGCCACCAAAGCTCCGAGCATGATCTAGAGGAGCAAATCACCGAATGGGCCAATATGACCTGGTTTCTGCTGACCTTGGGCGGTGTTTGCCTGCAGAAACGCAGCAACAGCCGCCAGCTCTTGTTGCAGCAGTCGCAGAACAACTCGTCGGTGGCGTCACTGGCACAGGCGTCTCTCTACTCGAGTTCGACTAGCTCGGGACATGGATCGCTGCATCCCAGCACGGTCTCATTGTCCACCATACCACCAGCACCGCCCCAGGATGTCAGCTATTGCGCGGTTACACAGTGCGTATAAAATCAAATAATAATTATCCAGATATGTATATTAATAATAATTGTTCCACTTCAGATTTATTGGGCAGCTGCTGCGTCTGTTGGTCTGCAGCAATGAGAAAACTGGGTTACATATACAGAAACATGTGAAGGAACTTGTGGGCGAGGAAATGTCCACTCAGCTGTATCCCATACTCTTCGATCAAATCAGAGCCATAGTGGAAAAGTTCTTCGATCAACAGGGCCAGGTTAATGTGAATGTTACGGACATTAACACTCAGTTCATTGAGCACACTATTTTCATAATGAAATCCATACTGGATCCCAAAGCGAGCAAGGATCCCAACAACGACCAGCCATCGCCATCGGAGCATTTGGGAGTCACAAGCATTGAAGGCATGATGCTGGGCATTGTCCGTTATGTGCGACACCTGGATATGAATGTCTATGCTATACGCATAAAAACAAAGCTGTGCCAACTAGTGGAAGTCATGATGAAGCGACGCGACGATTTGGCCTTTCGGCAAGAGATGAAATTCCGAAATAAGCTCGTTGAATATCTAACGGATTGGGTAATGGGAACCTCGCATCAAATTGCTCCACCTAGCTCCGCAGATGCATCGCTACTCACCAGCACTTCGCTTATCTTTCGGGATCTCGACCAGGCGTGCATGGAGGCAGTGGCAGCTCTGCTACGTGGTCTGCCGCTGCAACCTGAAGAGTCAGATCGAGGCGATCTCATGGACGCAAAGAGCGCATTGTTCTTAAAATACTTTACACTCTTCATGAACCTGCTGAACGATTGCATTGACAGCTCGGAGGCCGAAAAGGAACTCAACAACACACCTCTTCTGCCGCCTCGTCCACGCATGGCAGCTGGCAAATTAACTGCGCTTAGGAACGCCACCATACAAGCCATGTCCAATCTGCTGGGCGCCAACATTGACTCTGGCCTGATGCACTCCATCGACTTGGGCTACAATCCCGATTTGCAAACTCGCGCTGCTTTCATGGAAGTGCTCACCCAGATCTTGCAGCAAGGCACTGAGTTTGACACTCTGGCTGAGACGGTGCTGGCCGATCGGTTCGAGCAACTTGTCCAGCTGGTGACCATGATTAGTGATAAGGGAGAGCTGCCCATTGCCATGGCGCTGGCCAATGTGGTGACAACCGCCCAAATGGATGAGCTCGCACGAGTTCTGGTCACGTTGTTCGATGCTAAGCATTTGCTGTCTCCGCTGCTGTGGAATATGTTTTATCGCGAGGTCGAGGTCTCTGACTGCATGCAGACGCTTTTCCGTGGAAATTCGTTGGGCAGCAAGATTATGGCGTTCTGCTTTAAGATTTATGGAGCCAGCTATTTGCAAATGCTACTGGAGCCACTTATACGACCGTTGCTCGATGAGCAGGAGGAGATTTGCTTTGAGGTGGATCCAGCGCGACTGGACCCAAGTGAAGATATCGAAGAGCATCGCAACAATTTGATTGCTCTAACTCAGAAAGTTTTCGATGCCATCATCAACTCTTCAGATCGATTCCCGCCGCAGCTGCGCTCCATGTGCCACTGCTTGTACCAAGTGCTAAGCAAGCGATTCCCAAATCTGTTGCAGAACAACATTGGTGCCGTGGGCACGGTCATCTTTCTGCGCTTCATTAATCCAGCCATAGGTGAGTTGCAGCTCTTGATTTAACATTGGCTCAGCAACTGACGATTTCTTTATTGCAGTCTCTCCACAGGAGCTGGGCATTGTGGGCAAGCAGGTGCCCAGTTCGGCCAAACGTGGGCTTATGCTCATGTCCAAAATCCTGCAGAACATTGCCAACCATGTAGAGTTCTCCAAGGAGCAGCATATGCTTTGCTTCAACGATTTTCTGCGCGATCACTTCGAGGCCGGCAGACGCTTCTTTATACAAATCGCCTCCGATTGCGAGACCGTGGACCAAACGTCGCACAGCATGAGTTTCATTTCCGATGCCAATGTGCTTGCTCTGCATCGTTTATTGTGGACGCACCAGGAGAAGATTGGCGACTATTTGTCCAGCAGTCGGGACCACAAGGCCGTTGGTCGGCGACCCTTCGACAAGATGGCCACGCTTTTGGCTTATTTAGGTCCGCCGGAACACAAACCCGTTGACTCTCACATGATGTTCAGCTCATATGCACGCTGGAGCTCTATCGACATGTCATCAACGAACTTCGAAGAAATTATGGTCAAGCATCAGATGCACGAAAAGGAAGAGTTCAAAACTCTGAAGTCCATGAACATATTCTACCAGGCGGGCACCAGCAAATCGGGTTATCCGGTCTTTTACTACATAGCCAGGCGTTACAAGTGAGTGTGTGTGTGTCAGTGTGATGAATGCCATATGTTCATTTATTTCGTATTTTGTAGAATTGGAGAAACCAATGGGGACCTGTTGATCTACCATGTTATCCTGACACTGAAACCCTTCTGTCACTCGCCCTTCGAGGTGGTCATTGACTTCACGCACACCTGTTCCGACAACCGCTTCCGCACAGAGTTCTTGCAGAAGTGGTTCTATGTGCTGCCCACTGTGGCCTACGACAATGTCCATGCGGTCTACATTTACAATTGCAATTCGTGGGTGCGCGAGTACACAAAGTTCCACGATCGCATCCTAGCACCGCTGAAGGGCAATCGCAAGCTAATGTTTCTGGAGTCGCCCAACAAGCTCATCGATTACATCGACGCTGAGCAGCAGAAGCTGCCTGGAGCCACGCTCTCACTGGACGAGGACTTGAAGGTGTTCAGCAATGCACTGAAGCTCAGTCACAAGGACACCAAAGTGGCCATCAAAGTTGGCCCCACGGCGCTGCAAATTACCTCGGCTGAAAAGACCAAAGTCCTGTCGCATTCGGTGCTGCTCAACGATGTTTATTATGCCTCTGAAATTGAGGAAGTGTGTCTGGTGGACGACAACCAGTTCACGCTGTCCATAACTAATGAAAGTGGCCAACTGAGTTTCATTCACAATGACTGCGATAACATCGTCCAGGCTATCATACACATACGGAATCGCTGGGAGCTTAGCCAGCCGGACTCGGTCACAGTGCATCAGAAGATACGGCCCAAGGATGTGCCTGGCACTCTACTCAACATGGCGCTGCTAAATCTGGGCTCTTGTGATCCCAATCTCCGAACAGCTGCCTACAATTTGCTGTGTGCTCTGACCGCCACCTTTGACCTGAAGATCGAGGGGCAGTTGCTAGAGACGCAGGGACTCTGCATACCTTCCAACAACACCATCTTTATCAAGTCCGTTAGCGAGAAATTGGCCACCAATGAGCCGCATCTGACGCTCGAGTTTCTTGAGGAGTCGATACAGGGCTTCCAGCGCAGCACCATTGAGCTGAAGCATTTGTGCTTGGAGTACATGACGCCCTGGCTGAAGAATCTAACCAAGTTCTGCAAGTCCAATGACGACGCCAAGAAACTAAAGGTCTCGCAGATTTTGGACAAGCTCATCTGCTTGACGATCGACCAGAAGGAAATGTATCCCTCGGTGCAGGCCAAGATCTGGGGCTCCATTGGTCAAATCCCAGAGCTCATCGACATGGTGCTAGACAACTTCCTGCACAAGTCCATTAGCTTTGGCCTCGGCTCACCGCAAGTGGAGATCATGGCCGACACAGCTGTGGCACTGGCCTCAGCCAACGTCCAATTGGTGTCGAAGAAGGTCATCACACGCATGTGCCGCGTCATGGACAAATCCTGCACAAATCCCACTCAGTATCTGGAGCAGCACATGATGTGGGATGACATTGCCATACTGGGACGATATTTACTTATGTTGTCCTTCAATAATTGCCTGGATGTAGCCACTTCGGTGCCATATCTCTTCCACACCATCACCTTCTTGGTCTGCTCTGGCTCGCTGTCCATGCGCGCATCGACGCACGGCCTGGTCATAAATATTATACACTCACTGTGTACCTGCACAAATCCCTCGTTCGGAGAGGAAGCTCAGCGCGTGCTCCGCCTGTCACTGGACGAATTCTCGCTGCCGAAGTTCTATCTGCTCTTCGGCATTAGCAAGGTCAAGTCGGCCGCTGTCACAGCCTTCCGCTCCAGCTGCCGTCACCCGAATGACAAGTGGTTGGGCAACGAGCGCGTCACCCAGCCGCTGCCTGCGGACCGTGAGCGGCTCTCGCTGCCATCGCTGGAGGTCATCACGGACGCTCTTCTGGAAATCATGGAGGCTTGCATGCGCGACGTGCCCGACAGCGATTGGCTGCACACCTGGACATCTTTGGCGCGCAGTTTCGCCTTCTGCTACAATCCAGCTCTGCAGCCACGCGCTCTGATTGTCTACGGCTGCATTAGCAAGAGCGTAACGGATCACGAAGTAAAGCAACTGCTGCGCATTCTAGTCAAGGCACTGGAGTCCTTCAACGACCTAATATTGATTGAGGCCTTGGTTATGTGCCTCACGCGCATCCAACCGCTGCTGCGCCCCGAATCGCCCATACATCGTGCACTCTTCTGGGTGGCTATCTCAGTGCTGCAGCTGGACGAGGTTACGCTCTACGGCGCTGGTCTGGCGCTGCTCGAGCAGAACTTGCATACGCTCAAGTCCCAGGGCTGCTTCGACAAGACGGAGACCATTGCTGAGGTCATGATGAAGACGCGCGAGAAGCTCGAGTGGCACTTCAAGCAGCTGGATCATGCCGTGGGCTTGTCTTTCCGCAGCAACTTTCATTTTGCTCTGGTCGGACATCTGATTAAGGTGAGTTGTAAATAATGGATGATAGGATTAAATTAATATGCGCATTCCTTTTAGGGCTTTCGTCATCCAACACCCACCACAGTCTCGCGCACATCCCGTGTGCTGACAATGCTTCTGGGAATTATAGCAAAGCCATTGCACCGCGACAAGTTCGAGGTGACGCCGGACAGCGTAGCCTATCTGACGGCACTTGTTGCTGTCTCCGAGGAGGTGCGCTCGCGCTGCCACGTGAAGCACGCGCTGCCCCGCTGGCCCGCCGATGTGTGCGGCAGCAATGAAAACGGCGAACCACTAACCAATGGTGTGCAGACTGTAAGTGAATAATAATTACGCATGCATATATAATGACTACCTATATAAAGTTACATATTAAATGTGTTAATACTGTTTACCTTTAGATTGGCCAGCCATTGTCGCGGCGTCAGAAGAGCTGGGATATACTCGACCAGTCAGCTCTGCAGTTTGCGCGACATCACAAAGTACCAACACTTCAGGTGAGCTGATCCAGTCCAGTTAATGTATTATCGTGTGTATACTATATATTTGAATCAAACTGTTGTACAAAAGTTGTTATAACCATTTGCTATAGTAACTTTTGGCTATCCACTTGTTATATTGAGATTACTATTATGTATACAACCCTGTAATCGAGCCTATTATCAACTCTATATCTCGAATATCTCGCCTTTGCATAACAAATTTATTAATCGTTCAATGACATTTCTTTCTTATCTCTTTTTATGTTGTTGAACAAAAATAATAATAACCGTAACATACATTTATCACAAACGTAACTCGTGTATACTATTACTATGCCACTATATATGCCTGCTGACTACTCTTCCATCTAATTGGTGCTTGTAACTCTCATCCATATACTCTTACTTATACCTACATATACTACTCGTAAATGCCACAACTACCTACTACGCATGAACATGGCTTTTGATTTCCGTTTGATTTGGTTAACGACATCAACAACAAACAACTAAACAACACTCACATCGACAACATTAACAATTAAACAACATCAACAATACTGTGCAACCCAATCGTAGAATGCGCGAGTTTTATTCAAAACTCAACGCTCATTTTCGGTACCAACCACCAAGGAGCCGAATAATGCGAGCGGCATCGAAGAACGACAGGTATTGCTCAACCAAACTCTCTCTCTCTATCTGTCTTCTTTCTCTCTCTCTCTCTATCTCTCTCTAGACCTTTAGAACATCCACTAATACCTAAACGTATGCGCCCACAAACCCCACCAAGAAATAGTTACTCAAATACTAATACTAGACGTTCTTATATTTTAATTATTTATCATTTTCCTGCATGGCCTTGCCTGTTCGCTTAAAGCCTTATCAATTTAATCAAATTCGAGTCCTAATCAAATTCGTTTCGCTTAACTAGTTTAACATCCATGTCCCTAATTAGCTCATTAGTTGTCAAGTCTAAACGGGTATCTAACAACTGTTTGTGCTAACCAACAGGAACGCGGCTCACGCTCTTCCGTCTCCAATGAATCAAATGTCCTGCTCGATCCGGAAGTGCTTCCTGATCTGTCCATACAAGCGTTAGTCTTAACGGTCTTGGCTACGCTCGTCAAATACTCCTCGGATGAGAGCGAAACCCGTGTGCTGTATCAGTATTTGGCTGAGGGCTCCGTTGTCTTCCCCAAAGTGTTTCCAGTGATGTGAGTTGCTAATGGATTCCCTAGTGAATATCTTAACATTATACGCCCTCATTTATAGACACTCTTTGCTGGATCAGAAAATCAATAATATACTTTCCGTATCGCACGATCAAGTCGTGCTGAACTCTGTGCAGAGCATCATACAGAACATGTTGGCCAGCGAGGATCCGTCACAGCAGCAACTCCATTTCCTGCAGAGCTGCGGATTCGGAGGACTTTGGCGTTTCGCTGGACCCTTCACAAAGGTTTGCGGCTTGAACTTAAGGAATCTATCCAATAGTGATAATTATTCTTATTTACACTTGCAGTACAACATGATGGGCGAATCTTCAGAGCTCTTTGTCAACTGCCTAGAGGCCATGGTGGAGACATGTTTGCCCGGGGATGAATCCGCGCCCGTTCCACCTTCACCGCGTCCCTACAACCTCAGCTCCAGCTTGAGCAGCCTAACCCTAGGCTCGCCCACTGATAAAGGTAAGTAATTTGCGAATGTAAATATAATAGAACATTAGCTGCATAAATTGTTAAACTTGCTTTTAGTCTAGCGTATTATTCTAGCCGCATACATATATGGTATACCTAAACTATGACAAACCGTTATATATTCTCTATTTACTCTTTCTTTATGCAAACACAACATTACGTTATATAGCATTCTCATCGGAATCATTAGACTTTTACGATAACTGCTCTGGCAGCGTCACCTCGCTGCGACGCGCCTCACACAGCAAATCACGCGCCAAACATCGATTGAACGAAAGTCCATCACATTAAACAGCAACTAATTTGATATAACCAATTGACAAATAACAAAATAATCAAATGAAAAAATCAGCAAGCTTAGTAAATTATACACACACACCTAAACAAACTCATTATCGTTGAAAGCACGTTATATAGTATATACATGGTGTTCTATAGAACCTACTATTGTACAATTACCAAAGCGAAACCAAATTGAATCCTTACCAACAATTGAAAGAGTCGAAAATGATTGTTTTAACTAACGGAAAAACATATATTAATCAGTATGCAAATTGTTATCAATCCAGTCCATCGAAAAGCAAAACAAACAAAAACCAAAAATAACTAGAAACAGAAATTATAAAACACACAAATGCACTTTATTGTATTAGCGAATTTTAATTTGGAATAATTGAGAATTGTATTTACGATATTCATCAGTACCTTGAAGCATTTAAAGAACGTTTTTCGATTACATACATATGTGACTCCAAATTGTCTAGCGTAGTGTAGTTGTCGTAAACGCTTGTTACATTCATTCATATACTATATATATAAAATATATGCAGATATATATTTGATAAACAGAAATCGGCCCTTGTTACTAACAACTATTTGATTTACCCAGTCACTCGACGGGGCTACCAAAATCGCCAGCTTAGTAACCTGGGCCTATATTTTATTATTCAATTTAGCTAAAGGAATTACGAATCACAAATATATAAATAAATAATATACCAAATATTCAATGTACCTAACGCTTACGCCATTATAAAATAACCGCATGTGACTTGCAAATATGTTGCACAACCACAGTTAAGAACCTGCTTAATCCATTGCACAACCACCTAAAGAATAAAGTTAAATTAAATATGCATATATATATGTATGTACAATATTTCAGTTGAAAGAGAGATTTGAGTTTTTACAATAGCTTTAATCTAGACTAAAATGAAACCGAACAACAGCGATATTTTATACATATTTTATACATTTGCATAGCATATTTTTGATTAGTTTAACAAAATACAAAACTAAGTAACTAGATAATAGACATTTTTATAAACGATACTTTGTACTAATTTGTTGCGTGGGAATTGCATTCCCAGCATCGATCTGATGATGGGAATTTCATTTTTAAACTGAAATATTCCTCCTGAGTACTCACTCGACTCTTATTTGTTTTCTTGTTTTTTACTTAATTTATGTATATGTTTTATGCCTCTTCTATCTTATTTTCAGCTGCATGAATAACAACAACAAACCCACGCACTAGACGTACCACACTAATCGCAAAAGTTATGCGTTTTCTGAATATATTTAAAAAATGTTTCTGAGCCAAACAACAAACGAAACTAAAGAAAACAAACTCTAAAATGTACAAACGCGTTTAAAGCGAATATTCATTGGTGAAGATCATGTATGTGTATTGAAAATATTGAATAGCCGAAAAAAACGATATATGTATGAGAACTTACTGTATATGTATGTATATAAGAAGAAGAATATAGAACAGCTGACAGAAACACAAGAAACCCCACGAATTAGTAATCCAGTTAGCGATAATTCATATAGTAATAGACGTAAAGATCTATTTTGTCACAGATTAACAAGCAAGTTCGAAAGATCAACAAAGTTTTAAATATTATCGAATCAATGTAGTTTTTTAACATATTTATGTATGTAGTTGATAAATAAGCACGTACTTTAACCTACTCACCAGTTCCTGAGACGAGCATGGCCACGGCGTTACGGCACCATTGTACCAGAGTTCATCAATCAAGAGGATAACTGCAACAACAAGAAGCTTTAATAGATTTGGCAGGCGAGATTTAGCTGCCCTTTTTGTTCTTTTGTATTACATTTGAATCTCCCGCTGCAAACAGAATCAAATTTGTAATTTATGGCATTTATTTATGTTTGTCTCATTTTGTTTAACTTAAGCTCATATTCATTTCAATTTTTATTTAATTTATTTCACAAAACATATATAAATATTTTTTTTATATTTTTTTATATAAAAATTGCAAAACACCAAAAATTGTAAAACACTCTAAGAAATAAGTCCAAAAAATCTCCCAGTGCGTTTTTAATGCAAATTAAGTTTAAGCAAGTTTTAAAGATCGTAAATCGAAATGTTTTTACGCGAATATATACATATGTACCTCTAATTGAAAATTCAAGCGAAAACAAAATTTCATTCAACAATTTAGTCCAGTTTCTTCCTTTTCTTATAAGGCAAACTAGCACAAAAAAATTTTTTTTTTATTCTCATTGCATTTTATTCTCTATGCATCTAATTAAATATATTTCTTAAATTTTCATGTTTCGAGTCTAAATATATATTGAACTAATTAATTTACTCTCAATAAAATGTTGAAAAAAAAAAACTGTTTGACTTTTGATTGGCACATTTGAAGGAAGAAACATTTAAATAACTGAAGCTTTTATCTCGGTCGGATTTATATTCAAAATAAGTAAGTCGCTTTCTTTCAATCTAGAATTGCAAACAATCGTTTCCTTGATTTGTGTTTGCTTTTTCTAACAACTCCAGCCATTATGAAGTAAATCTCTTTTAATCTATTCTGACATCTCAATAGCTGCATTCGCGATCCCTTTTCTTTGATAGGCAAATACTTAAGTCTCTTCTTGCAATTCCATCAGATCAACCCCAGAGTGAATACCATATGCACTTGCCTCGCAGCCCGGCCAGACCAAAAACCTCCCCCACGACGCAATCGGAATCAGTGCCTCATCGAGAAATGCCGTTGCTGTTGTTGCTGTGTTTGTTAACTTCTCGATTTCATGCATGCGATTACACGACCCTCTGAGGAGGAGGCCAGCACACACACAAGCAGGCATACACATTACCCTACACACTCACCCTCGGCTCGCAGGCCGAGCAGGTGGATTTTGTGAATGGGCCAATCGCAGTTGCAAACGCGCCAAAAACGGAGCAAGTGCCACAGCTGACCGGGCCAAATCTGGCATATTCCATATCCCAATACTTGTGGGAATGCTTGAAGTAAACTTTCTCACGATGCGACGCCAACGGCACACCGGCTGGCAAGTGGCTAGTGGCTGGCAGTGGTACGGGTGGCAGTCGCTGCGGTGGTTGCTCGAGCGAGCGAGCGCGACCCGTTCCCGTTCGTCAGTGTAACGCAATGTCGCGCCAAAGAGGAAATGAGGTCTGGGTCTCGATCTGCTGCCTGCGACAGCGCGCCAAAGGCAAGAGTACAAAAACGCACAGAGAAAAACGAACAAAGCCGCCATCGTTGAGATTGCCCATGTGTGAGGGTAGCTAAAGGGAACGGGCATGGCACGCATGGGGCACGGCTGCCAGAGAGTGTGCGAGGCACAGACACAGCGACAGCCAGGTCGAGGTCATGTCGCAGTCGCAGTCGCAGTCGTTCTTGAGTTAAACGTTGCACGCAGCCAGCTCGTGTGTGCGTGTGGTGCGAGTGGTGCGATTTGCTGCTGCTGGTTGGTTGGTGGTTGTTGCTCTGGTTCGGCCTTTGTCTCTGGCTCATGCTCATGCTCTGTTCCTGTTGCGCAGGCGCACGGCAATGGCACGAGAGACAAAGAGAGCGCTCTGGTTCAGGCAAAGGCTCTGCGCTCGCTTTGCTTGCATCAGACAGGAGATTCTGCACTGCGAACAATTTTAGAATTGAACTCGTACTTAAATTATTATAGTTTTGCATATTTAAATATTGTGATTAAATGAAATTAATTTGTCTTCTTTTTTTTTTATTAATTTGTTAATATATTTAGTAGATATTATTTGATTTATTTCTACTAAAATATGAGAAATAATAAAAAAAATTTTTAATTTATTATTTTATACATTATTATTACAAATTAAATTTATGTATTTTCAAATTGTCTTCGTTATACTTGCACGACAAAATCTCACTTAATTTTTTTTCAGTGTAGACAAATGACATCCGCTGGTTAATATTGCTTATACTCTGTAAATAAGAGGGCATACCCAAGGCAAGTTTTGAATTATCAAAATATATCTTAACGGTACAAATTTCATTATGGAATAAATACATAAAAATAATAATAATAACAATAAAATAATAATATATTTGGTAATATATTAATAAAGAATACATACTTTAATAAAATTATAATAATAATAATATTTTCTTTTTTTAATATACATATTAGAACAATAATAATATTGTAATAAATACTTTCTTTCAGAGATTTCATATCATTAATACATCAATATATACAAATAACTATTTATGTTATATAATAATTACACTTTTATAAATCATTTCTCATTATAAAATTACCAATATAATTTAATGAATTTTTAAAAATGAAATTTATTTCCTCTCCAAGAGCGAGTTTCAGAAGTGCACAGGGTATTTCAAAGTTGATCAGTGAAAATGGGTTAAATGTTGCACACGTGCAGCGTCGACTGAATGTTGCCACAAGCAGAGAGTCGGTGCCACACACACGGACGCACGCACAGCGACACGATTGATGCTCGTCTTGGGCCATCATTCCCGATCTCATCCGATGCGATCCGATGCGCTTCGCTCTGCTCGTTTGTGAGCGTTGCGTGGTAGCAGTTAGGGGAGGATTTTGCAAGTGTACGCACCGCCGACGCCGACGCCAACGCCGACTCTGCTGCAGCTACAAAAAGGATCAGTTTACCTTGCGGCAAGATCATTTCTCAAGCGACTACCGTGCGGTGAACAGCAGCAAGTGTCCTCTTCGCAGCAGCGCTCAACATTCAACGATCGCCTGGCCAAATCGAACAAGCCACTTGCCACATTTCAACCAAAACACAGACACACACAAATTTGCACAATGGCCGTGGAGGGTCAGAGATTTATGACCAAGACACAGCACTATCGCAAGGTCACCAAGCCGCTGCTGGAGCGCAAGCGGCGTGCCCGCATGAATCTCTACTTGGACGAGCTGAAAGATCTGATTGTGGATACAATGGACGCGCAGGGGGAGCAGGTCAGCAAGCTGGAGAAGGCCGACATACTCGAGCTGACAGTCAACTACCTTAAGACACAACAGCAACGGCGTCTAGGCACCGGCTCATCTACGCCCACCGCCACGCCCACTTCGCCGCCGCCATCTCAATTGAACTTTGACAAATTTCGTGCCGGCTACACGCAGGCCGCGTACGAGGTCTCCCACATATTCTCCACGGTGCCTGGCGTCGATCTCCAGTTCGGCACGCATCTCATGAAGCAGCTGGGCCACCAGCTCAAGGATATGAAGCAGCAGCTGAGCAGCCCAGTGCCCAGCGAACAAGCCAGCGAGCCCGTCAACCTGGCCAACGGCAACGAACAGCGCTCCACATCACCTCAGGAGAATCTCGACAAGGGCGAGGATGTCTGGCGACCCTGGTGAAGCGCCCGCTGAAGCCAACCCCCAAGCTTTATAACTAACATTTGCACATTGAGAGCTTTATTCCTCTGGTTTTAGTTTGTAAGATCTAACCGAGTTTTCCAAGGTTTACTGCAAGCATTTGCCCAAGTTTAGATACATACGATATGATGTGATGTTCCTGTGATAGTTTTTAAGTGCGTTTATTAGTATTTGATCTCCGGTAGAAAATAATACCAATGCTTGTTAACATAATTTATTTTGATTTCGATTCACACTGAGCTTCCCATATTGAGCTTCCACTTAGATTAATCTTACATTTAAATTTAAATTTAATCTTACTCATATAAATGCTTTAAATAAATATACAAACTAAATACAAAACCCCAGACAACTATGCGTATTTTGTTTATAGTTTTTAGTTAATGTGGACAAGCAAATAAGCTTTCCCATTATACATTATCTGTGTACCGACCTAATTTAATTATTAATTTTTAAATCAATGCACTGCATTAATTTGCAGACATTAATTAATAATATACAATTCAATTTTAAATATAAAGTAAGCTGAAAATATTATTTTTGAATGTATTCAAAATTCAATATTCGCCATATTTTCAAAATAATCAAATCTGGTCATATAAATACTAAATATCACTGCTTTTAATAATATGTATTTTTTATTCAGTTCAATAGCAGTTTAGTTTTTAATTTTTTATCCATCTTAAATCATGTCTTATTTGCTTATTAATTTATCAATTCATTTAAAAACAGATGCAATCTCTTTGTTTTAGATGCACTGATTCTATGTAGTTCCCTTTACATTACAGAATCGAGGAAATCTTAGTTACCTTCAGTACATTTATGTAAGATTTGTTTTTTATAAAATATTAAATCTCGATGTTTAAGGATCTGCTAAAGAACAGTTAATAAAACAATAACCTTGATGTTGTGTGAAAGAGAAAATCTTGCAAATTATAGCATTTAAAAAAATAAATAAATAAACATTATTATTAAATAAAGACGTTACAAACAGACGAACAAAAATAAATACCAATAATAATAACAATGATAAGCTGCATTTCATTGAAAAGGAAATTAAAAAAAAATATATATATATATATATAATTGTATATAAAATAAATAGAAAAATAAAATAATATTGGTAGATAAAACTGTAAAGCCAAATGCTAAAAAAAAAATAATAATAATAAATGAATTAAAAAAATGTATTAGAACTTTTCTTGAAGTTGATTTGAATTTGGATGTTATCTAAGATAAATATTAAAAAAAAGTATATTTTTACAAATACCAAATAAATACATATATTTTTATAGATATGATGCTTACATTCTTTTTAAATAAATTATGAAAATGTTAATTCATATATGAAAATATTAATTCATATACTTTGTATTTACGGTCTATTACTTATTCATAAATATTAGTATTCTTCATTCTTTTTATACAAATTCCTGTAGTAAGCCCAAAGCCTAATAAACCAAGGCCATAAATATCTATCCAACACCCGAGTGAGTACTCACGAGCACCACCCAACACCTCAACGCGTGCCAGCCCACACTCGCATGTAAATTTCACCCAAAAGTCCTCTGTCGTATTACAAGGGCCTGGAACGCGTACGACTTACAGTCAGAAGTCGAAAGTGTGTCTACCGTGCGCCACACGCGACTGGCGAGCTGCAGGAGTCGAGCTGCAGCATCGCTTGGCCCCTGCCCGACCTCGACTCTCACTTACAAAAGGTGTCCATGGGCCAGGCGCTGAGCTGAGCAGAGCAAAGCAGAGCAGAGACGGAAAAGCAACGGGAACGCACATTAAGCACACTCGTCGCACACGAGCAATGTTCCCACAGGATCGTGCAGGCCAACAAGTGTAGGACGAGCAGCCGAAATGGAATACCAATTCACAAACAGGAAGTGCTTCTCTTTGCAGCTCCGCCCGAGTGAAACGCCCCAGCAGCAGAATGTTGCTGCTCCTAGCATTCCCACGGCAACGAGTCTCTGCTGCTGCTGGCACAAACGAGATGGAAGATGAAGCGTGCAGTTCATTATCCTTTCGCTCGCCCATATTCTCTTAGGCAAATCATAACACAAATCTATAAATGCCAGCTGCGCCACAAACGCTCGCAAACACACAAACTGCAAAAATTCCCATGGCCAGGCGAAGCATGGTTCGAGCTGCGCTTCGTTGCCCATTGAGCAGGTGAGCCTGCTCAGAATATTGGTGTGAGAAACCAAGGAGGAAAGTGTTTCCCACGATACTGCAAGCACACACACACACACACACACGCACACAGAGGCAACGATCCTGCAAAGGCAGCGATCCTGCTCCCTGGTGCCCGCTCATGATAAGGGTGCCACAATAAGAAACCGAGCGAACAATAAGAAGCAGCGGAAGGGTCGACGACGACGTCGAGCAACCCTCATGCCAGCACACGCTGCACACGAAATGCCAGCACAGCCGAGCCCAAAGCCGAATGCCGATGGGATCATGGGGGTTGGTTTTGGCCACACGGCTATAAAAGGCAGCGGCCAGGCGAGACAGCAGCACACAACGTCTTGCACACTCAGAGCAGCAACAGCTCAGCAAAGCAACCAAATATCACATAGAAACATCCCGCAAAATGTCATCGATGCAAATATCGGAAATGTCCAAGACGTATCAATACCGCAAGGTGATGAAGCCGCTGCTGGAGCGCAAGCGACGGGCACGCATCAACAAGTGCCTGGACGAGCTGAAGGACCTGATGGTCGCCACGCTGGAGTCGGAGGGCGAGCATGTCACACGCCTGGAGAAGGCGGACATACTCGAGCTGACCGTCACCCACCTGCAGAAGATGAAGCAACAGCGCCAGCACAAACGCGCCAATGGTGGCGCCGAGACACTTACGCCGGCAGAGGGCTTCCGCTCTGGCTACATACACGCCGTCAACGAGGTGTCCCGATCCCTGTCCCAGCTGCCCGGCATGAACGTTAGCCTGGGCACAGAGCTGATGACACACTTGGGCCAGCGCCTCAATCAACTGCAGCCCGCTGTGAAGGAGGTGCTCCCAGTGACGGCGCCGCTCTCCGTGCACATCGCCAGCCGGGATGCCTACTCGGTGCCCATCTCGCCCATCTCCAGCTATGCCGGCAGCCCCAACTCCAGCGTGGCCAGCGAGCGAACGGGCAGCGCCTCCCTGCTGACCACCTGCTCCAGCAACCACAGCATCAATGTGACCAAAATGGATGAGGGGCCTGACAGCGAGGACGAGGAGAACGTCTGGCGCCCATGGTAGACCCACACAGCCAATAAGAAAAGAAAGAGAGAGAGAGAATGAGAGTTAAGAGTAGCAAAAGTCTTCCAAGTCAATGGGCTAAACAAAACCCATTGACTCCACTTAGCATAAGTTAAAAACAAATGATAAAAGAAAGCTTTAACCCAGGCGTAGTCCATGTGATAACTAAAATTAATAATAAATTATATAGCTAAAAATTGAAATATGCAAACATGTTTTTATTGACTCATCATTTGCGCCCCAGAAATTAATGGGAAGAGCTGCTTATCGGCAAGCGATTGCCCATCCAATTGGTCAGTCGCGATTTCAGGAATGCGCATATAATCGTACATGAGCTCTGCCATGTTAAAGTCCATCGAGCGGAAATGGTCTGACCGTAGCCTATGCTGCTGCTACAGATTCTCGAATCCAACTGCGTCAGTTCGTTGTAATTTTCTCTGTTTTTTCTTATTGTTACCAATAATCTCAGAACAATAGAAAGCGAAAACAATGCCAAGGCCGAGAAGAGAAATAAAATGGAAATGCCGAAAAGAAAATGGGAGAGAAATAAAATCAATGTCCGTTACGAGGCTACCGACGCGTCCAGCGCTCAGAGCTCAGAGCTCAGAGCCCTGGGCACCCTTGAACACGTGTGCAGACAATAAGACCGGGCCACATAAAAAATTAGAGACTTATCTCTTGGCGTGTCTAATCGAGTTACGACAATGTCGCTCAGTCTTAGGCACACAGCCCGAAATCTTTGTAAAGCAGAGTCGGGGCCGAACAATAGCAGAAAAGGATCGAGTCATCGGTGTACAACCCTCCGGTCCAGCCTCTAGCCTCCAGCCATTAAACATCCTTTTTTTAGCCAGAGCCACTCGGCTAGAAAATCTCGTGCGCACAATGGTCAAGGCAAGACACATAATTGCTCGGGCTGTCTGTCTGACATTCAGGTAAAGGTAAATGATTGCCATTCCCTAGGGCACCGACAGGATATCGCTCTTTGTTGGTGTTGGCCCGCATCATTTGGTTATCTTTTGCTGCCGTTGCTGTTGCTGTTGCTGTCGCTATAGCTGCTGCTTCGGCTGCTGCTCCAACAAGACCAGTAGCTCCGACGCCTGAGCTGTTAACAATCAATGAAGTTAAAGACAGCCACATAAAATAGCCCAGACAACATGAAAATTATGAGGGCACCTCTAGGGATGCATACTGTGGCCTTGATCAGCATAAACAATCTTAAGATTTAAGATTGCTGTCACATTGAAGAAGAAGCAATAAATTTAAGTGGAGTTTAAGAGCTGCGGGCGAAGATTAACTATAGATTAATTCAAGCGAAATGATCTACTTGTAATTTTCACATAATTACTTTTATAATTTTAAGTAATATTATTTAATATTGAATAATTATTATTATTTTTAATACATGTATAATTATAATTATTGTTTAATGTTAAATAATAATTAATAACTTGGGCTAACAATCAAAGGATTTTTATAAATTGTTTTAATATTTTTAAAAATATTTATTTTTATTATTTTATTAAAATTTTATATAAACCCAACTTGCCATATGTTTGTGACATAAAAAAAATCATAATTATATATAAATATTTTATTTTATGTTTTTGTTAAAATTTTATTTTATTTATGTTTACATATTATAATTTTGATTATGATCATGCTTCTCCATCCTTAAACCGAATAGTATATTTTATATTTCTTATTTAAATGAGCACCTATATACAAAATATCATGAAACCCAGATTCCCTGATTTAAGTGTATTTAGGATATTAAACATATTTATTGTATACATGTGTAACTGTGAAGTACTTGTTAAAAAATAAAATAAAATAAAATAAAATAAAAAATGTTGACTACTTTTCTGACTGTTAAATAAGTTGATTTTTAAGTATACGTAAATTGTCAAATATCAAATTAATATAAGTATATACATATGTATATATATTTTAGTTGGCTTTATTAAATTTTTCTTAAATATTTTATTATTTTTATTAGAGTGGAAATAAAAGAATTTACAATGCAAATAATTTAGATACAGCATTTCACAATATTAATATATAATAAATATTGCATAAATTGCGTTCGACAAAATCTAATTCAATAATCAAACTAAGCAAACAATAAACAGGCACATCAATTCTATTATACAACTCAATTGAATGCTCAGTCAAGCAGCTCAAGCAAATTTGCATATGATCAATGCGCAAAGCAGTAAGAAATCGCAGCTTAGTGCCGATCCTCGCCCATCCGCAGGCAGCATAATTGTGGCATGGCAACAAACGACAACGGCAACAACAAACAAGATGCATAGCCAGAGCCGACACCGACAATGGACAATGAGCAGAGTGTGGCATAAGGCAAAGGCGCAGGCGCAGGCGAAGGCGAAAGGAAATGCATGCGTGCTACAAAAGATACTTAATCTTAAAGGTAAACCCGATGAATGATGAACGAATGTGCTGCGACGTAACCGAAACCGAGGCCCAAAACTCTGAAGCGCTCAGAGAAGATTTGCAGCGAGCTCGACGAACGACGAACGTCGAACGCTCGAACGCAAGCCCAAGTCATTAAAAATCTACAATACACAAACTGCATACGAATCACTTGAAGGGCCCCAGCACACGCACACAACGAAAGGCGATAGACGAGGGACAGGGGTGCGGTGATGCGGAGAGTTGGCACGGCGTAAGGGACGAGGGAGAGCAGTACAAAAAATATCAGAAGCGAAGATCGTGAGAAAATGGTTTGGAACGTGGTTCTCACACGATCGACACACCTGCCCTTTTTTATATGTATTTGTATATGTGTATATGTGTGTGAGTGTGTGTGTGTATGTGTGTGTGTTTGTCCCTGTTGTACGTATTTCTGAATTCAAGATACAAGACCACTTACGGGCAAGATCACGACTGAGGAGCGAGGAGGAGAATAGCTGTCGCTGCCGCTGCTGCTGCTGCTGCTGTGACTTGAAAGAGAAAAGCAGCGTGCGGTAAGTGTGCGGCAAAGTCGACGTCGTCGCATTGGCCAACATTGTAATGACTGTGGACACACGATCGTTAAGACCACAGCGTAGCCGAATTGAAAAGGGGTAGGGGCATCAGCGCAGGGCAGGGGGCAATGCAGCGAGAGGCGGCCTGTGGCGCGGCGCATGCGCGAACGCAGTCGCGCCGCAACGTTTTGTCGAACGAACTCAATTTACTTTGTTTATGGCCAGAGCGAGACGCTGTTAGAGCGTGCGATAGAGACGGCCAGCGAGTGTGAGGCACCAGCCGAGCCGCACTTATATGGTGTGCTATTGACTCTGTAATATCTTTAATATGGGATGTTGTTACACTGCATTGGCACACGCGCACGCTGCCACTGGACAAGCGCTGTCCACTGCTCTCTCTCGCTCTGTCTGTGTGATGCTGGCACGAGTTGTGGCATGGCAGCCCCACCCCGCCTACCAAACTGAGCGCTGTTCATCCCAAACGATGGCTCTGGCCCAGCGCCCGCTTGATCGGCTGGGCTGGTCGCCTGGCCGGTTTTTGATTTTTGTTTCTTTTTTTATTAAGTGGGGGTCTTGCGCTTACTTTAATATGGCTGCATTAAGTTTTGCGGCGTGTGTGTATGATGACTGCAGTAGGTGGCACTGCCTGGCCCCGGGGTAGCATCAACAGCAGCAGCAGCAGCAGCCGGAGCTTCCACTGCAGTTGCCTGAGTAAATGGGAATGTGAATGGAATGGAATTAGTGTGGGGCCAACACTCAGAGGTCACGTGATGTGTGCGCCGTACTGTACTTCTTTTCGCAAATACAAATATATGTGTATATCTATATATATTATATTTTTCGCCTCTTTAAGGCGCTTATGAACCGTTCAAGCTGCTCCAAATTAACTTTTAGTTATTGGCCCACTTCAAATAATATCATGAACATCATCATTGTGTCTGCTCTATTTGATGAAGTCAATAGCGAAATACTTTATCAAGGTGTCGATATTAGTTCATCAATAATTGTGAAATTAAGAGTCTCAATTGGGTTTGCGAATCTGTTTGCCTCGAACGGGGCAAAGTCTATGAAATTTATTGCCTAGGCGCAGCTAGCTTTAAAGTACTTTGAATAAAAGCAAATAAAATTCCAAGCAAGCAAACAAATTTTATTATAGGTAAATATTATGTATTTTCGTCACAAAAGATAACAAACAATCTATAATACGTGTAAGGCAATATTTAAATTGTTTTCCCCTTTTCTTAATATTCTTTACACATATTATTGTTTCTCCTATTTTTCATTATTATTCATTAAAATTAGTCATAGCAAAATTGATAATTTGGTGAATTTTTGTTATTTAATAGTATCCTCTACATACATACATACCGCATATACTGACTATATTATTATTCTCACCTATGTCATTAAAATATCATCATAAGCCTACTAATCTCTGACCGCACTTTTCGAAATCATCAGCCAAGGCGAGTTCTTTAATGATCCTCTTGCAATTTTCGTTTCTTCAAACTTGACCGAACAAAAACAAAAAAGCGCTTAAATATAAGAGCTCATATATGAGTGTGTGCGTGTGTGTGTGTGTGCCTGTGTGTGTATGATAATAAAATAAAAGACTTGTGCAGGTCGCTGTGCCAATGTTACGTGACTAATCACATTTGGCAAAGATTAGCAGCAATCAGCATCTGTGGAGAGTAGCAGTCATCATCATAGTTGTCCACACCAGACACAAAAGCGTTCAATTCGAAGTTCCGTAACCGAACCGCACATTCGCATACCAATACATAGTATGTATGTATGTATTGATATGGCCACTCATATAGCGATACCAATACCGATACATAACAAAGTTTTAAGTGCTCGGTCCGGTCGCGGTCGCGGACCTTAATTTGCGATGTCTGCTGGTCTGTTCGTCTGTCCATCTGTCTGTCCGTTCAGCTGGCGGCCCCGGCGCATGTGCCAAACGGTCAAGCGCAGTTAAAGCTGTCAAAGCTACAACAACAACAACAATGCGAACCATTGACAGCCGACTCGAGCGGTTCTCACACTCAAAAACTTGTAATAAATGACGTTTCCTAGAATTCAGTTGGTGTTCTCTATATATATACAGACAGCTCTATAGATATCTAGATATATGTATGTATGTATGTATGTATATACTTATAAAAGAAAAGTATGTTATTTTCGTATATTGTTGCTCTACGCTGTTTTTATTATTTAATTGCCATAGCAGCGCCGGCGCAAAAGCCCCGTCGGCTTGGCTGAATGAAGTCGGAATCAGAGAGCTGAGAACTGAGAACGAACCGTCATTAAATGAGGCCAACTCTGGAGAGGCCCCGAGTGTGGGAAAATATTTAGCGACTTCCGGCTGCGGTTTTGATTTGGATTTCTATGGAGCTCATTATATGCCTGTCGCCTCCGGAAGGGCTTCATTGATGATTGTGCTTATCGTGCTGAGCAAAAGCAAACAACAACAACAACAACAAAGGCTAAACGTGACGCAGGCGCCTCTGATGAAATATAATCACTTGCTGAAACTTTAGACTGACCAAATTGAAAAGAAATTTCGTTTTTTTTTTCTGTTTTTTGTATTTTTATTTTTTGTATACAAATTTTTTTATTTTAGATTTTGATTTGCTCCGGGTACACAATAAAAAATGTAGCAACACTCGTTAGCCATGTTGTCGGCTCCAGCTGAGTGGCTCGTAGATGCATTTTTTCCCATCGGAGTGGAGCTGTCGGCGCACGGTTTCCAGTCCAGCGCGCCTGAGCGAACAGCTGCCCCGGGTGAGTGGGTGGGTGAGTGAGTTGTCAACGCCTTGGGCATCAAGGCTGCCGCCTGCAATGCCTTCACCATGGACGCCACATGGGTCCAGTGCTGTTGGAGCTGGTGCTGGCCTCGCTGGGCGCTGGGCTGCAACTGCCGCTGGCGCTGCCGCATTCCGAGGGCGGGGGCGTCACCAGAGCTGGAGATGGGCTGCTGCTGCTGCTGGGGCTGCTTAGCTCGTCGGCTGTCTGCAGTGGCACCGCCACTCCAATGGGCAGCGTGGGCACCACCACTTGCAAGTAGTTGAGTCGATGGCCCAGATGACTCATGAGCTGCGTGCCCAGATCCACGCTGACGCCGGGCACTGCAGCCAGGGTCTTGGACACCTCATTGGCTGCATGCACGTAGCCGGCACGAAAACTCTCCGCGATGCTCAGCTTGGAGTCGCCGGCGACGCTGGCGCTCGAGCCGCTGCTGCCCAGGCGCAGTTGCTTTTGGGCCCGCAGCTTCTTCATGTGCTCCACGGTCAGCTCCAGGATGTCGGCCTTCTCCAGGCGCGTAATGTGCTCGCCCTCCTGCGTCAGGCACTCCACCATTATGTCTTTCAGCTCGTCCAGGCACTTGTTGATGCGCGCACGACGCTTGCGCTCCAGCATGGGTTTCATCACCTTACGGTATTGATATGTCTTGGACATTTCCATTTCTAGCACCATGTTGTCTACTAAGGTTAACTCAACGATATCACGCGTAATCCACAGTTGGTCTTGATTCTTTCTCTCTCTTTGAGTTTGCTCTGCGCTGCCTTCGTGTTGCATACGCCGCAAAGTCGTAGCTTTGAATGATTCAGCTCGCCGTCTGCGTCGCGCTTTTTATAGGCTCGGCCCTCGCTTCGTTTCGTTGCGATAGCGAGTGCGAGCGAGACGCGCATTTTGCCTCGTGCGCGACCCAACTTTAGAGTTCCTTTCTCCCTTGCGCCTGATGCTTGCCGCTGGCCTCTTGCTGGCTTCTGTTTACGTATGCGCTGTGTGTGCGCTCAGCCAACGTCGCGCGCGCTCTCTCTCTCTCTCTCTCTCACTCTCGCTCGCGCTCTCTCACCCTCCCGTTTGCTTGTGTGCGAAGGCAATAAAATGACTTGAGCTGCGGCTGCGCCTCTATCTTGCTGTATGCATGCGCCTGTATATGTGCATGAGTGAGTAAGTGAGTGTGTGTGTGTGTGTGTGCTGTTGTGTGAGTTGTGATTGTTATACCGTGGGAAACTGTTTCGCAGCCGATTTCCACGACGACGACGACGGCTGGCAGCCTGGCCTGACTTCTTCTGATTGTGCATGCTTGGGGTCTTTGCCTGTACGTCCGTCCGTCTGGCCCGGACTGACGGCCCGCCTTAAGAGCTCTGACTGTGGCAGAGCGGCAGCCAAGCGAGCACATGCCTTCCATCCATAACAAGATGTTTGCATTTCAATTCATTTGTATGTGGCCGGGTATTTGGACTCGAGCTCAGAGCTCTCTGTTGTTGTTGTTGTTGTTGCTATTGCTGTTGCTGTTGCTGTTGCTGGTGGTTCGTCTTGGGTCTTGTCTTGGCTTCGGCTTGCCATGTGCCTTCGCCTTCGCCTTCACCCTTGCAGTAGCTTATGGCACGCTGATAATTGTGGAATCGTCATCGCGCAGCAGACTGTTGTTGTTGTTGTTGTTGTTGTTGCTGTAGTTGCTTTGTTTTGTTTTTGTTTTTGTTGTATGTATTTTTTTTTAACGCTTTATGGATCATTGATTGGGATCGTGGGCTTCGTGGGCCAAGCATTACGCTTTTCGTTTACATGATTATTCTTGATTGCCCATTGCGACGACCACTGCTCGGGCTTTGGGATCTGTTTGTGTTTGCGCGCTCTCTCTGTGTCAGTATGAGTGTAAGTGTGTGTGTGTTTGTGTTTTTTTTTTGTATTTTGAATTTTTTGACTTGGGTACGGCTTATGGCTCGGACTACTTCTACCATTTGTAGACAATTACCGGCTTGACTGGGCAAGAGGCAAAGCATTTTATGCGACGTGTGCGCGAAAGTCAGTTTCGAGTCGATGCTTTGCCGCTATTGTTGTTGTTGTTGTTGTTGTTGTTATTGTTGTAGCGGTGGTTGTTGTTAGCACACGCTATAAATGTTGTTGTTATGGGCTGGCTATACATATGTGGCTGTATCTGGCTCGTGGGGTGTTTGAGGCTTTTGTCACGTCACGAGTGATTTGAACTTTTTAGCACATATTTATATTTAGCACGGCCTTAAACTGTGATTCATTCACAATTCTCAATTATGTGTGTGTGAGTGTACGTTTGTATCATGTCTCCAATTCAACTATTTATAGCAATCATTGGCACACAGAGCTCCAATTTCACAACACTTAATTAGAAGTGGCGAACCGACGAAATCACATTCAATATGACAACACAAGTGGCGCATCATCAGCGTCGAGCAACAACAACAACAAACTGAAAATAAATAAATAACAAAAAAAAGAAGAGAAAAACAAACAACAAACGGGGCACAAGACAAATTAAGTTGGCGTTTTGTACGCATTTCAAATGAGCTACAGTTAACAAATGTTAACAGCCTCATCTTCATTTTGACCGTTGTGTTGTTGTTGTTGTTGCAGTTGCGTTGGTCCGTTAAATGAGGCGCGAGCTCAACGCCGTCAAAAAGCTGCCTGCTCCGGAAATGGCTAATTGGACTGAGAGTGAGAAGTGTGTGATTGTTAGTGTTGTAAAACACGCGTATGTATGCATATGCACAAAAGCATAGGGGTGTCGTAATTGGGCTCGATTTTACGAGGGTTGCTTGCCTTGAGCATCATTAAATCGAGTGAGTATTAGATCTGTCATGTGCTAACTTAATAACATTCAATTCATATGATATTCATGATATTTAGTTTCAATGAATTGCAGTTGACTTCGTTAACTGCTTCACTTTCCACAATCAACTTTTAATGTGACAAGCAATCGCATAGAGGAACATATTTATATCTATTTAAAATTCTAAAATGATAAATAAAAAAATAAAAATAAAAATAAATAAATAAAATTCTAAATAAATAAAATAAAAAATCGAATATATAAATCTATTTCATTAATTTTATAAGCATAAGTTCATATTAGTTATGCAATTAATTCTGTCTAGTCACGATCACACACATGAATCAATTTGTTAATTGAATTTCATGGGAATCCCCAAGCAAAATGTCCAAATCTTAATTGATTTTTAGTATATCCTAGAAGAGAATTTACTAATCGACGAGCTAAAACAAATTATTAGAAACGTAAATACGTTAATTATAATATTAAACACTGTTTCAGATTACAATCAGCTAAATTACGAAAAGTGATTCACATCAATAATTCAAATATGTGCTATAAAAGTACCCCCATTTTTACCGTTCTCAAAATATATTTGGCTCTACATTTAATTAGATTTTATTTATTTAGAAATATGATTACATAATTCCAATAGGCTGTATTTCAATAATGCCCAGTTCAAAGGTCTCATTCGAATTCGTCATCAGTCATACGCACTGTGAGCCAATGTAATTTCGCCATATGCCCAGCGTAGCGCATTCCTCACAGTCGTTCAAAACCAACTTAAATACCCGCACCACACACCATACACACACACACCACACACATACACACACCAATTCTCGGCAAAAGCCCAACGAAGACCTCATTTCTCTCGCTTTGGTCGTTTATTTTTTTCAGCATTATTTCTGCTTTTTTTTTTTCATTTTTGTAAAACAATTTTTATTTTTTTATCGATGGCATACGCACGCGCGAATTTTAGTGCCCCCGCTGCGCCGGCGACCAACTTTGGAGCAGCAACAACAACAACAACAACAACAGCACGAGAGCGTGCACAGGCACAAGCACAAGCACAGGCCCAAGCCCAGAGACCAAGCCGGGCAGCAACAACAGCAACAACAGCAACAGCAACGACAACAAAAACAACTATAGCGTGTTGTTGAATTAATTTATATCCAACAGTGCGCTTTCAACTTTATTGCGCCGCGAAAAGCAGCCACAGCCACAGCCAGAGCCAGAGCCAGAGGCAGCAGCGTCAGCGTCAGCGTCAGCAATGTGTTCGCGTCGCCCCCTGGAGACCGGCCCGCACCGAGAGCTCCATAACGCCGCCAGCAACCCACACAGAGACAGAGGGGCAGCCCATCCATACCGACAAAAGGCACGGCGGCGCAGTGGGGGCCTGCAATGGCACTCACAGATACTCGACAAGCCACACACACATGCGCAGTGCCAGACCGTGGGAAACAAACTCGTGCCAGTCGTTTCATTGCTGTCAAATAATATCTTGATGGGGATCAACTTGAAAAGATTGGTTGGGGCTGGCTCGTTGCCGCTGCCGTTGTCGTTGTTGTTGTTGTTGCTGCTGTTGTTGTTGCTGTTTGGCGAGTCGCTGCTGGCCGCTGTTTAGGATGCGGTCGACGCTTTTGTTTTTTTTTATTTTTAGGTCTCTTTTTAGTCTTTTTAATACTTTACACATTTGTTCGTCATACCCCAACCGTTGAGTGTCTTATGTCTGTATGTGTGTGTGTAGTTATAGCCATGGTCGTAGATCAGCTTGGAAACCAGTTTGCCATCCGCCAAAGCGAGGCTGAGGCTGACTCTTTGGCTGCTGCGTCAGCGTCTGCGGCTGCGGCTGCGGCTGCTGTAGATGCCAGCACATACTCGCTAAGATCACATAAAAGACCCGGCACGCCCCACCGAACCGCCCCGACCCACCGCCTGACCCGGCGCAAGCGGCCGCAACTTTCGGTCAGCTCATTCGTGAATGGCTGCTGTGGCTCGCTTTTATGATGCACTGTTTGCGCTCACACACACGCACGCACACACACACACAGGGAGACATGCGAGCACTTGGCACGTTGCCCATTATCTTCAGACCGCTGGAGGCTTCAGTTGCTCAAGTGCACATATCATATTACCACAGGGCCTGGGACAAGACGCAACTATGTATATAATGCAAAGGCTGCAAAGCCGCCAACTGCACCCCCAAGAGCTGTGGCTGGGGGTCCCCCTTGGAGGCGCAATTGACACATGCAGGCGCTCCAGCTCTCAGCTCTTCGCCGTGATAAACAATGTCAGCATGTCTTAAAGGCATTTCACACACACACCCACTCGATCCATTAACTAGCATAAACAGCGACCCCTTTCTATCACCCCCCTGGCTGCTATCTAATGTCATTAAAAAAAAGAAGAAGAAAGCAGTATCTCAAAGATATGCGCCTATTGCAACATTAATGCCAACAGCAATCGTCAGCGCGCTTCACACACACTTCTCCCCCACACTTCAGTCGCCCCTGCATCGAGAAAATGAAAATTAATTAAAATATCTATATGAGCTCACAGGGGAGCGTCAGCGTCAAATAAGGGCGCATTTATATTGAAATCGAAGACAAGTGGCAGCCACATTTATTGCCGCAGGGTTCGAGTTCAAGTTCGAGCCGCAGCACAAACAAAATCCGTGTGGGAAAGTTGAAAATCGAAAATCGAAAACAAGTGATTCAAAATGCCCATACAAATAAAGCAGAACCGCAGGACGAATGTTGTGGCAATGCGTGGGAATGCTGGATTTAGTGCTTCATTTTTTTCCTGAATATTCCCATTCCACTCGGGCACAGATATGCCCTAGGGTATACAGCCTTTATGTTGATTGCCCATTAGGACAACAATTTGCACTCCTTTTAACCGTATGATGATCCCATGCACAAATATTGGGCCTCGTCTTCTGTGTCCTGGCTTCCTTCGAGTCGTGAGAAATTTTACGAAGGAACACCTGCCTGTTGTTATTCGTTTTGAAGCCAAAGCCACTTGAATACATTTCCTTCCAAATTTTTAGGGTACCAAAAATTGTTTCCCACACTTCGTATAGCCGAACAGTTGCACTTTTTGTTCCCCTCTCACTTGCCCTCTCTCTCACTCTCTCGCTGTCCTTTTGTGAATCGGGGGTACATTTACGTTTCCTTAGCAAGTCTCGCGACTCTCGACTTCCTACACACACTGGAAAACAGGCTCGACTACCTGCGCTGCCCTTACCGTAGCCTCGGCCTCAAATTTCAGGTTCAGGTTCTCGCTCCCTCGCTCGCTCTCCAGCTAACCGGCTAACCTGCTAACCATCTTATCTCTCTCGCCACGGTCGCTTTCAATGAGGGTGAGGTGCGTACCACGTACGCGTGTCTGTCAGAGGGTCTTTCAGCGTTTCCTTAACTGTGTGTCTTTCTCTCTCCCTCTTTCTCTCTCTTGTGCGCTCTCTCCCCTCGTCTGCGGCCACAGGAAATGCATTTTGTTTGGCTGCGCTGCCGCTGAGTGCGGTGCGGTGCGGTGCAGAGCGGAGCGGAGCGTTCAGACAGCTATAAAAGCGGTTGCCTTTCGGTTGGGAAATCATTCTGACATCGTCAGCGTTTCAAGCAACACACACAAGCAGCACAACAAACCTATTCACTTTTCCATTTCAAATTCAAAAATGTGCCAACAAGTCAGCAGCAACGACAACAACAACAACAACAAAATGAAGACCAGCTACAGCCTTAAGCAGGTCTTGAAGACGTTCTTCAAGAAGCAGCAAAAGCAACAACAACAAAAACAGCAACAGCGCCGCCAGAACTCACTTGAATCCCTCGAATCAGTGGACAATCTGCGCAACGCCGAGGTCGAGGAGGTCTACTATGCCGAAATCGATGAGAATGCCGCCAACGAGAAGCTAGCCCAGCTGGTGCAGGAGCAGGAGCTCGACAGCGAGGAGGACATCTATGTGCCCGTTCGCTTCGCTCGCACCGAGGCCGGCACCTTCTTCTGGACGACCAATCTGCAGCCAGTTGCCAGCGTCGATGCCGATCTACTGCAGCCCGCTTACTGCTACTCCAGCCAACAGCATCCGTTCATGCAGTACCAGGACCGTTGGGCCCAGGCCTAAGATTCGACAGCCCACGTCCAGGCCTCCATTATCAACAAGCTTTAAATGCATGCAACATTGTGATAGCAACAGCAGCAGCAGCAGCAGCGGCAGCGGCAGCATCGTACTTAATCTTAACTCAAACTCAACTCAGCGATCCCAGCGCTTCCATTAGTTCTTAAGACATTGTGATAGAAAATGACAGCTTTAACACAGAGATGATGAAAAACAAGAAAGAAAAGATATTTTACAATACAAGAAAAGATATAAAAACTAAAATTACATTTGGTTTCTAATTGGTTTCGGGTTTCGGGTTTTGGATTTTAGATTTTGGGTTTAGCATTTCAGTTTTACGATCTAAACAGATCTTCAGCATATTTTATGCACATCCTTCATATATCTCGAGCAATGTTATGACGTCTGGCATTCCACGCAATTGAATAGATGCCTCAACATGTTTACGATATGAAATTTTCAGCTTGTGCTCCGCTCGTAAAATATGTTTCGCTCCCCTACGTGACAGATAAGAGACGTATGTGTTTATACGCTGGGATGTGACACATTCTTTCTAGATCATTTCGAAACAATTTGTTGTTGTTTACTTCGATGATATGTGGCGCCATTCGATTTATAGTTACAATAGGAGTTTTCAGTTTCTGATTTGTTTTTTTTTTTTTTCTGGCAATGCATTTGAAAATATAGCTAACATTGATTAAAAGTAAGTAAACAACGGAGGCAATAAAAGTCAAGACAGATATTGTAAGAATGGAAGCATGCTATGAGGTTTTAAAATAGATCAAATATGAGCTTATCTTAAAACAAAATACAACTTGGATATGTGGATATATTTAGAGTGGAATAAGGAAAGTCTTGATATTATTCAATAAATAATATGATTATAAGCTTATATTAAAGACAATTTTAGGTTAAATATTTCAAGTATTTTATTAAAATATGAAGATATTAATTATTATAAGACCATCGAATATTTTTAAAAAATATTAATTGCGCTAAGCCCATTGAAACTGAAAATCAGAGCAAAATGTGTTTTTTTTTTTTTTTAATTTAAATTTATATATAGTTTTGTTTTTTATTAAAAAGGACTTTCTGACCTTTACTGGCAACTAATAATTATAATAAAAATATTGAATATCATTAAAACATTATCTTTTAATCGTAACATATTATGTGTGCTTATTATATTATCATAGATATTTAAAACTATCTAGCGAAAAATAAAACATCCATTTCCACGAATCATAGCTGGTATTATATCTTTGCCTCTCTGTCTGTCTTTCTGTTCGTTTCTCTCCGAATTCATGAACTTTCAATGAGATGTTGACGCCAGAAGTTTTCTTCAAGTACGCTTTTCTTCTCTACAGCCCTTTATAAGTCGACCTTGCCTTGGACAACCTTAGCAGAGTCTATGCACATTTTATGGCATGCATTCCATTGGGCTATTGGCTTGTTTGGCTGGCAGCCAGTATGAAATGTTCCCACTCCGGCTGCAGTGTCATCATATTATTGCAGTTGTCACTTGCCTTGGCTAAGGCCACCGCCACCTGTGTGCCCAAATATGGCGATGGTGTGCATAACTTCACGGCAATTGCTTGCACGGGCTTGTCGCCGCGTGTCGTACAACTTATTTATGTGCTTTTCTAGAAAGAAGAAAACAGTCAGTCGACAGGAGAAGGAATTGGCGCTGGTGCTGGTGCTGGTGCTTGTTGTGTTAAGGAAAAACCCATATCAAAAGCCACAATTAAAATGCAACATGTAGACGTCAACACCTTCCAGTCACGGGCCAGTCACAGTCGCTGCAGACACGCAAGACTCACATGCCAAGGCGTTTCGAGGCGGACGTTGAAATTGGGCATAAAAACAGTACCGCAAAAGATAATCGTTCTCATACACTCCCATCTCTCTCTCTCTCTCTCCCTCTCTGTCACTCTATCAATCACTAACGCATTTCTCCTACACTAAAAATGCAAATTGCTGTCACACAAGAAAATAATAATAAAAAAAGTGGAAAAATTGAAAAAGAATCGGGGAATTGAATAAAATTCTGGTAGCGCCGTGACGTAAATTAAGTAGCTATAGAAGTTTCTGTTAAATTGGCTCCGACAGCGCATAATTAATTTCGTATGCACGGCGGTACTGAATTGGAAGAAAGAACCATCATGGAATGCCGTTGCTGATGTTGATAATGCTTGCGATGATTGCCTCTGCTGCGATTGGGATCTGTGCAGCTCGGCTACCTCTATTCATTTGCATTTACAAGCGAACGCTACATGTACCCACTCGCCTGTGTGTTGGTGTCGTATGCGCCGCTCTGTCTTGGCGAGTGGCGAGTGGAGTACGCGCCGGGCTGGCCTGGCACACGGGCACAGGTGTACGGAGCCTGCTGAACTGCTGGGGTTTAATGTACGCCTCTGTGCCCAATTCTCGGCGACAACTCAGCGGCGGCCTTCGCGTGCGTGACCGGCATGCGCTTAGCGGTCATTGATTGGCCAACACCAACAGCACCAGCAACAGCAACAACAACAATAGCAATAGCAGCAACCGTAGCGGCAGTTAAAACATTGTTGGCCAGTTCTTTGACCATGTCTATGCTCGACGAGCTGGCTCTTGGCTAAGGGCGCCGCGAGCAACAAGTGTGTGAACACATTAAGCGGTGATTAGCCGACACAGAGACATTGTTGTTGTTGTTGTTGTTGTTGTCGTCGTCGTAGTCGTAGTTGTTGCTGTTGCCTAAGCACTTTGTGTGTGGCGATTGCTGCCACAAATTAGCCCGCTGCAATGTTACCATTAAATTGATGAGGGACAATGTGGGCAGCCGGAATACACAAAATGTATCCACATAAAGATCTAAGTGCCGAGACAGAAGATCATTATGCAAATAAACATACATACATGTACATATATAATTTAAAAACAAAGTAAGTCATTTATTAATATAATATATATATTTATAAAATATAAAATAAATATTTTTTAAATAATGCATATACATATTCAGGTATACAAAAATTAAAATGAAAATCATATAATAATAATACATACGTACATACATTGAAATTTCATATATGTTTGCAGAATAAAGCAAACGCTAATAATTATTATTAAAATAAATTGAATACATTTTAAAAATAAATATAAATACATTGATGATTGATATATGACTATTATTTTTGTAAATTTTACTTTTGGCTACAATTATTATTTTATATAAATACAAATATTAATTTTAATAATAATTAGGTATTACTGTTTCAATAAAGTCTATTATATTTATTATTTTAATTTTAAACAAAATTTGCTTAAAGTTAGTTGGATTGCATTTTATTATTAAAAAATTTAAGTAATATCTATGCTATGAATATATAGTTAATATATTTTGTATAATGTATACTAAGATCAAAATCAGAATAAAAATGGTTCTAATAAATATATTTTAAAATTTACTCAAATTTTTATATATATTATTTTATATATATCTATAAAAAAGTTCGTGGAAAACATTTTGACAATCAATATATAATTTCTAGCACATAAATTATTTGTTTTAATATATGTACACAATTTTTAAGAGCTACATTGTATATTTACTTTGATCCTTTACAGCTACATAATTTTTCAAAGCATACTTTCGTGCTAACGGTTTGATCACATCGGATTTCAGGCACGTCGCAGATTTATTGATAGATTTTTCTTTTTTTTTATAGGTAATCTATTAAGCAAAAAACTCTAAAACTAGGCAAAGATTTTAATTGAGCACGCTATGTGAGTTTAGATCTCGACTGTATAGGCGAGCGCTGTCAAACGGGTTCAAATAAAAAACCTCAAGATTTATTGGCGATTGGTCATGGCTTGTGCGTAACCTTGATAAGTCGACTCTGCTGAGCCGCAATTAAATGGCAAAGTCGCTCAAATAAATTCCAATACATTTCCGCATCATGCAGTAACTCCTGATGTTTACGGACTGTGCTACATTTAATGACTTTTGATGCGAGAGATCGAGTTCTAAGAGATCATAGATAGGTATGTAACCCCTTCTATTGGTCAATATAATTAATACAATAAAACGCTGTTTCATATCATTAACTAAATGTTTTTCAAACTTCAAATTCCAGCTAATTCAGCGGAAGTATTTTAAACAAAATTTTTCTGATTTTCCACTGAAAATGTGTAACTATATCTATTCCGAATAAAATGAGTTTTGTTTACGTAAATAAGACAGACTCCCAAGTTGGGGAATTGGTAAACAAATGCTCGCTGATGACATCGCATATATTTTGCTCACAACATCCATTCGATGTATTTATGGCAAATGATTCCCCGAAGTTATCGCAAAAAAAAAAAAAAACAATAAGAAAATGTTGTTCTGATGTGATAAACAAGATACCAACTGACAAGGGAACAATATAGATGTTGATTCTCGGTGATTGCCGATCGATTGATGGCTAATGGCTGTTGGCATCAGGCAGACAGGCCCGTCAATTAGAGCATAACAAACGACGGGTATTACTCACCTCGGCCGTGGTACGAGCCAGAACGCTGTAGACCAAAAATAAGCACATTGCATGTCGCACTTTGAGATAGGCATTCGCCTTATCAGTCCGCAACTGATAAGAGTGCCCGAGTTGCCGCTGAAGTGGCGGCAATATAGGCGTATAAATATATATAAATCAATGAATTTCCAAACAGTAACAGCAATTGTAAGCAACAGCTAACAGAAAGCACACGTAGACCACGCAACCTAAGCCCAAACCAAAGCCAACAAAGGAAAACCCAGAGAAAAGAAAATAAATATTCATTTATACAAGCATACATAAATATTTACAACACACGTTCGCAAGAAAAACAAATAAAAGTTCGCTCAATGAATTCGCAAGCTTTGTCGCTCTGCTGCTGCCTGGCTCTCCTCGCGGGCATAGCAGCCACATCGGTGTCCACCAACGAGACGGACTGCCCGCAAATGTGCCCGGCCATCTATCAGCCGGTGTGCGGAACGGATGGCTTCAACCTCAAGGAGTTCGCCAGCTTGTGCAACCTGAAGGCCAGCAACTGTCGCCGTGCACGCAACGCCCAGACGGGTAAGTCGATAATTGCTCGATAATCGATTGTGGCCATTCCATATTTCTAACGGTTCATTGCTTAGTCTACGCTGCCACTGACATGGCCTGGTGCACCTCCAAGAAGGTGGAGAATCTGGACAAGCAACTGAATATCAAACTGGACGTCGCTGGCTGCCTCAAGCCCTGCCCCATGATCTACAAGCCTCTGTGCGTGACGAACGGCGAGTATCGCGGCCTCGTGTCCAACGACTGCTCCTTGGAGATCTTCAACTGCGCCCTAATGGCAGCTGGCGTCAATACCTCCAAGCTTCTCCGCATTCTTCAGGCCGAGACTTGTTGAACCTTCTAAATCAATCAGGAACATATATGTAATATAGGACATACTATGTCCTTTACTCACAATTGATTTGAAATGAGAAAAATATATAAAAACTGAATAACGGAAAATAATTCGAATCGCATATTTATTAAGCTAATACTGGGGAACTAATATATTAAATAAACAAAAAACAGATTAAATACTTTAGCTTATCTAATCACGACAAATGCAAAGCTAACGCGTTTTATGGATTTTGTTTTTTAAATATATGTGTTCACACTTTAGGAAAATTATCTGTTTCCCTGACAGTTTTCATTTACAATATCACAATTATCATAAAAAATAGCTCAGTTAAAAACTTTTTGCAAGTTTTTTCATTTTCAAGTAATTAAAAATGATGCGATAGCTTTTCATATTGTAGATAGCTCGTGCAATATAGAAAACTTGCTCTAATAGAGTACATATGTGTACATCTTTAAAAGTTTCTGTATCAAGAATACATGAAATTTAATTGCATTTTAAAATAGTGCTTTACTTTTAGTTAGTTTTAATTTGTTACCAAATTTTGAAATTTTTAATAAAAGAAATTATACATAAAGTCCTAATAATGTATTTATTCAACTCAAGTTTATATTTGAAAATTTCCCTTTACGGAACATTTAGCTGCATTATTAAATTTATTGAGAATTCATCATTTATTGATATACATTTATTAATATAATTTAGCGGATATCTATGTATATATCAATTGTTTATATATGAACTTATTATAAACAAAATTAAAATTTTTTAATAAAATAGGTCGTTCAAAAAAATTTGCATAAAAGACGATTTACATTCAATATATGTAAAAAAGGATTACAAATAATAATAATAATACAAAATAATACTAAGCATAAAAGAACAAAAAATTAAAATTAAAACATAAAAAATAATAATTTTCGCATAATAATATAATTTATCCTATTAATATATTATCTTAATTATATATATTTTTGGTAAATGCATTTCTGGTAATCATATTTTCATATGTTAAATATATTTGCAATTTTATAAAAAAAAAAAAAAAAAAAAAAAACGATTTTCTATAGATCATATATTTTTCCAAATATGCAAAATCAAATGAAAACAATATTCTCCGTAGCTGCCATATTTTCAATAAGAAAATACTTTCTAATATATGAAAAAAATAAATCAAGATTTTACATATTATCCAAATTTTATGCAAAAGTAGAATAAATAAATTCTCCACTATCCGCATATTTTTGCTATTGAGATGAGAGAAATACAAATAGAGAGATATTTTGCTGTCAAGAGTTTGTTTAGCATCAGCACAAATCCACATTTCGCATAGTTTTCCATAGTTTTTCATTTATTTGCAAATTGATATCACATTGACAAAGTAAATATTGCGTAAGAAAATAAATAATTGTGTGAACAAGTAACTAATAAGTGTTTGGGCTGCCCAATGCTGGAACTCGACTGTCGAGGGTCGAGAGTCGAGCTGCAGTCACGAGTTGTCCAAATTGAGATCTGTTGTGGAGAACACATTTGCGGTCTGTCTGGGGGCGGGGGCGGGGGCGGGGGCGGAGGCGGAGGCGTAAGCGGTGGCTAGCAAAGCGTGCCGGGCAATTGGCTGAAGCTTTGGCAGAGCCAGGCGTGCAGCAGGTCGTCGTCGACGCGCTCCTGTGTGTTGGCCCAGAAGAAGGTGCCGTTGTCGGTGCTAATGTACTGCAGCGGCAGTGGCAGATCCCACAGTGTGGCTGCGGGCGTCACGCTGGACGTGACTGCGGGCGTGGGCGTGGAGTGGGACACTGCGCTGACATTTAGACTGTGGGCTGTGCGGTCGCTGATGTTGCTGATGTTGCTGCTGTGGTGTGTGTGCTGACAGTTGCGTCCATGGTGGCAGGCATTGCAGCTCTGTGCACTGACCTTCTCCACGTAGACGCTGCTGATCAGCGTGGGCGTGTTGGGCGGTGGTGGCGTCTGTGTCAGCTCCTCGTGCACCTGCTGCAAAGACAGCTCGGCGAACTTGCTGATAGACTCATCGGGCGTTGATTTGCTGCTGTCGCTGTTGTCCGCCTGCAGCGGCTCCAGCTGTGGCAACAGCTGCGTATTATTGAGATCCACATTGTTGGGATGCGGCTGGCAGCTGGGCCTGCCCTTGCCGCCCACTGTCAACAGCCGTCGCAGTGGCTGCCACACTTTGCGCATGCGTCTCCCCGCCCTCGGCGCCGCTAAAGCCGCTGTGGCTGCTGTCGCTGTGCTGCTGTTGCCGGCCGTCAGGTTCTTCGTATCCAGATACATGGCGTTAGCTTTTGTGTAAGCTCTGCTCGACTCGTTCAGGTTGTGAGGTTGTCTTCAGCAGCGAGTCGTTGCGTGTGCGCACCTCGCGAGAGTCGTTCGTTTTCTGATGCTGCTGCGCCAGCCGGCGCTCATATTTATATATGAGGCGCTGCCGCAGCGCTGCCAATGGCCAGTCAAGAGTGAAATCGTATGCCGGCTGATCTCACGAGCCCAGGCCAAGCACCGAGCACCGAGCACCGAGCACCGTACGAAATTTGAGTGCACTCTCATGCACACACACACACACACACACACGCTACACATACCAATGCAGACGCTTCTCATCGATGGCTATGAGGGAGAGGGAGCTGCTTTTTATGTGCGCGTATTTCCCAAATAAATTCCAACAGGAATCCACAAGCTTGTGTGTACTTTTCCCATGCACGTACAATCGACAAGGGCCGCTTGATGAGTTTTGGCTGCAGGTAGATGAAGACGATGCCGTTTGCACAGTGGTGCCAGAGTTGTTAAACGGGAAGCCACTGATTGGATTGCAATTGAAAAGGCTTAAGACCATAAATACTGCCCAATAAGTATATTCGAATACAATAAGTATATTTATGCAAATCGATTATAGAGATTAGCATGAATATTATTGCAAAAATAAACATGGAATTATGTCTGAGAACATTTGACAAAACTGTTCCTATGCCCACTCTCTGCTAATCGCCTTAAGGTATTAAAAATGTTTAGTTAATGTGCAGAAATATTAATGGCTCACTAAATTGATGATCATAAAAATTCAAATATTAGCATAAGCTTATAAAAAGGCTGTAAAATATCTGCCTGTTACTTTTGCTAATAGGGGAAAGAGGAAATCTAAAATAACTAATGTATTTATTGGCTGAAAACATGTTTTGATTAATAGTTTTGTTTTTTTCGATAATATTTTTTTAATATTAAATTAAGCAAAAATACATAATTTGTTAATAATCATATTACTATGCAATTTTTTATTTTTTGTATACATTTATTATTTATATTATGATATAAACCTAATATAAATTTTAAAATATATTTTTAATTAAATTTTTATATTAGCCAAATAGTTCATATGAAATTCAATTGGATTTTCAAAATTTCCCGTTTTATTGCCCATATGCACTTAATGGCCTGCAGCAAATTGCTTTGGCACCACTGTGCACTGCCTGTTCCGTCATTTATGCACGACTGACTTTGTTTTCACATTCACACGGTACCCGAAGCCGCAGCCGCAGCCAGAGCCAGAGCCAGAGCCAGAGCCAGGGCCCAGTAGTTGTTGCTGGTTTACTGCTGCTTGTCCAGCTGAAGCCGCTTGGGCGCAGTGACGTAGGCATTTCGTTGGCTCTGCGCGCACTGGGGGCAGCAGCTGCACCTGTTCCATTGTGGCCCCTGTAAACTAAGACGCTGTGCATTTCCGTCCTGGCGCAGGCGGCGCACCGTTGCGAGTGTGGGAAAGGGCTTATAAGAATTTCACTTGGGTTGTTCGGGTTTTTGGGTTTTCGGGCACTATTGTTGTTGTTGCTGTTATTTTTGTTTCCTTTCTTGTGATTTTTTGGTGTTTTGTTATTGCTGTTGCTGTTGCTGTTGCTCTTGCTACTGTTGTTGTTGTTGTCGGGAGCAGCTGTTATTGCTACTTGTTCGCCTGTTTGTTGTCATTTATAATCAAGGCTCCGAGCCCCGGCGCTGATAAGTTCATTTTACGTTCGTCGATCCTAGCCAAGGGGATTATGACATGTTGTTCACACGCTCAGCACAAAGGCAGATCTAATGAGGCCGTGACCTGATTTCACATACAGACAGACAGACGGACAGACAGAGAGCAGTCCTTTAGCTCTTTCCCACACAACGGCTAGTCTCGACAAACTAGTCGGCCCAGTCCGATCGCAAACAGAGCCTGGCCAGCTCTCTGGCTGCCCGGCCGGGGGCCGAATGCAACAAACTCGTGCCAATCGCGTGTACACCGCACGCCTGCAGCTTGTGAGCCACCGTCTCCATCGCTTTGGCCGCCATTAATCTTGAACCCGACGCTGGCGACGACGACGACGACGACGATGGCATCGTTGCCCCGCACATTTGCCCCCAATCAGCGCCTAGCTTTGAACTGCACGTTTGCTAAATTGAAAGCGACTTTAACTCCAGCTCCAACTACAACTCCAACTCCGACTCTGACTCTGACTATGGCTATGAGTGCAACTACTACTACAACAACTACAGAAACTAAGATGCTGCCCGCTTCAATTCCAACTGCACCTCCGAACGAGCTGCGCATGCGCCTGCCTTAACGCCTTATTGGTGGATGGGATAGTCGAACGCCAAGCTGCTGCCTTTGCTAAGCAATACACTTACTTTGGCCGTAACACTTACCCGTGAATTCATTTAATTTGCCCAATAAAAATATATTTATATTAAACGACTGAAAGCGAAACTAATGGAAATACATTTTATTTAAAATAAACTACATACTTAACTAAGAATTTAAATCTAATCAGATTTGTCTACAATATCTATCTATATCTACAATATTATTATGAAGATTAAATTTAGTTTTAAATTTGAAGGATATTTTACTTCCAACTCAATAAAGCTTCTGGATTTCATCAATTTCGTTTCGTGGCTTGTCAAAGCTTTTCTCTTTTAATAGTTTCAATTTGACTAAAAGCTTTCTGGCGAAAAATAATATCACCTAAAATGATATTGAATAGTTTGTAAATATTGTTGTAAATGATGTTATGTAAGCTCAGTTTCTAGAAAGACAATAGATAATGATTTTTCAGTTAATTTATACTTGCTCTATTCCTTGCTCTATGTAGGACTGATAAGACAGCTTTCTTAGAAATTATGATCAATTTTCATTTAAGCAATATTATTTAGTTAAACAATAGTTGGAAACTTTAGTGAGCTCTAGAGCGACTATTACTAATTATTACTAATGTAATGATGTTATGTTAACTAACAGATGTTACTTAACTGATCTCCACTAATTTGGGCAGAGTATTTTGGCTTCGATTTCAGGTTGCTGCAATTTCTGCTTCTTTTTTAGCCACAAGCAACCATTTGGCTTTTGGCTTTTGGTTCACACGGCAGGCGACCAAACGGGCAGCGAGGCAGCGGGGCAACGAGTTTTGCGCAAAACTTAGCGCAGAGCTTAAAAAAAGATATATGTATATATGTATGTGTGTATACATACATATATGACAAGCAATTAGTGTGCATTGAGGTTAGTTGAAAATGGTTTTTGGCTGTGGCTTGTGGCTGCTGTGATTCGCTGTTGCTGTCCGAGTGTAGTGTGTGCGTGTGTGTGTGAGTGTGTACAGTTGTATATCTGTGCTTTTGCATGCGCCTTGCGAGTGGATGCAACTGCGTTACTCATACGACACGTGTGACAACAAAGTCGAAAGTTAAGTCCGCTTGTAAGCTGAAGCTCTTGTTATTGTTGTAATTGTCATTGTTGTAGCCGTTATTATTGTTGCCTCTGTTCGAAGTCAGCGGAAAAAAGGCCAAGCCAGCAACCCAGCAAGCAACGGCTAACGGAAGTCATGGCCAAAAGACAAACAAACAAACCAGAGATTCTGCAGCATCATGGGAACTGCTTGGACCGGCAAAAAAAAATATAAAATAAAAAATAAGAAGAGAAAAAAAGCACAAGTGTCATATTGCTGTGCTGGTGATAAATAAAAAACAGGCAACATTTTATACACATAGTGTGTGTATGTGTGTGCCCCTTAAGAGCTGACAGCTGCCCAGCTGCCCAGTAGCTGTAGCCGAGATCAGCGAAAAGATGAAATAAAACATCATCTTAGAACGACAACCGGATGTTGAAGTTTATTGCGCTGAACGTTGACGGCGACAACATTTAGCTATGCAAAAGTATTTCGGCTACTCCCGAGGAGCTGTAAGAGCTGTAAAAGCTGGCGACGACGACGACGACGACGACTGCTGGGGACGGCTACGCTAAATCGATACGCTTCAACGAAATGCTAGCCACTTAATGTTGCTGTTATAGTTTTGTAGTCGTAGTTGTCGCAGTCATCATCATCAGCCAAGCATGCGACATAATTGCGCGAGTTAAAGCCCCCCAAACAAGCGACAACAACAACAACAACAGCCGCAACAACAGCAATCATCAGCAACAGCAGCAGCAGCAACAACAACAAGCAGCAAAACATTTCAGCAATCCATCGGATCGCATCACAATCCAGCCATCCGTCCAACGTGTGGGAAACACACGACAAATCTGTTTCCCACGGTCTCGTAAAGTAGGCACAACACAACACACACTCATAGTAGGCTCCCATTTGTGCATATGCATGTCTCTATATGCGTGTGTGTGTGTGTGTGAGTGAGAGCACCAAAGAGCCAAAGAGCCACAGACGACGACGAATAGGAGCCGCCGTTGAAGCAGCAGCGCAACTGTCATCATTGACAATAAGTATGACATGGACGATGGCAACAGCGACGGCGACGGCAGCAGCAGCAGCAGCAGCTAGCAACGACGGCACACTGAGAGCCACGCGCAGAGCCATTCTCACTCCAAATCCGAGATCCGAAAGCCACGACTGCGACGCGACGCCTCGCTCGGCAATCAATTTTCGAAGACGACGCGCGCCAGAGCGCAACAGGGCACGCTCTCTCGCTCACGCTCAGCCAATGCAGCAGATCAACAGTGCTTTGCCGAGTCGCTCTGCTTCGTAAACTGTCGCAATAATATGCCAAAGAGCGCACAGTGGACCCAATGTAATTATTATTTGTAAAGTTATCAAACATGCGGAAATTTATATTCAAACTTTTTGTTCAATTCGATAAGCTTTGATTTGTAATATAAGTAATTGATATAGAATACAATATTTCAATATTATACTTGTAAGGTAAAGCTTTTTAGGCACTATAGTTTTTCAAATGATTGGCAAAAATGTATTGAAAAAATATATAATATAAATGCTTTTTAATATGATACTGTTTATATATAATACAATATATATATATATATATATTTTTTTCCAAACAGGTTTTAAAGGACATTCGCAGCATACTTTAAGGAACAGAAAATTATTGAATTGAGACAGTAAATACCTATGCAGCTTTTATTGTAATATTGAATAAA